TACCCGAGTAGAACCACTGGCATAACATAGTTGAATAGCTTCCTGATATGAAAGAATCCAAAATCTCTGGCCTGATTCTAATCTGCAGCATTGAGGGGGCAAGTGGTTTGAAGTCAACAACATTAACCACTTGGCCACAGTCACCCTAGTTATACATCATTAAAAAATTAAAAAAAAATCATGTAAGAAGTAGAAAATATTTATTCATTATTTGTTATAACAAAGCATTACTACATTAACTATTTTCAACACTCATAAATTTTTCATAGACTACACTTCCATATACACATATGTAAAATGTCTCGCCTATGCCTTTACTCTACACATTGTGTATCTCATATATGCCGGTGTGTAAAATTGAAAAAAAAAGTATATATATATATATTATGAATGAAGAAGAAAATTTACATGTACAGTTGTAGTTCATATACTAGAGAGTACAGTTTACCAATAATTAACCACCTAAAAAATTCTTCTCTACCGAAACTACACGCTTTGAATTTGTCATAATTCAACCGACAGGCAAGAAAAAAACATTGCACCAGTCCGGTGCCACATTGTTCTTAACCCCACATTTTTCCTATTGATTACATTATATGAACAACATCTATAAATCTAATATTGAAGATAAATGAAGACTTGACTTAATGCCAGTATAGAAAAAAGATGGGAATCTAACGGACAAATCTAATCTTGTACGACTACAAAAATTATAAAACATACACTATAACCATGGTTTATTGTACAATGACTTTGGAATGTTTATCTCTTACAATTTCATGACGCCATAAACACACTCCATGACCTTTTCTGTTAACATGAAAATAAAAACCTAAATGCATAGAATAAACCCAACATATTTCTTAACAAAATAAGTACAATGACTCAAAAATACAGTAAAAATGACAGACCAAAAACAATTGACTGGTTCCATTTTTTTTTTCTTACTGAAAATGAGTATGATTTATAACAGCCTTGAAGTTTTTATATTTATTTACGTCTCCTTGTAGACCTGATATACTGCGAATTCACTTATATTCGTGGGCATGAAATTTCGTGGTTTTATCAAAACGGGCATTTTCGTGGGTTCTTAAATTCGTTGATTTTCGTTTTCTTGTTAGAAAAAAAATTCAGTAACCTAATGCAAAGTAATCTTAATCGCCGAACATTTTTACTTACAACATGTACATATCTTTACTTGTCACACAGCGGTTGTCAATAAATTTAATCCTTGCCTCTGGGCATAACTCTAATTTAGCACAGTTACTGCAGATAATTGACTTCAATTAACACATTTATGTGACATGATATGCACCTCCATTGGACACACTGCCTCTGTAATTCGCCGATGTAAACATCGCATAATTTATACGACACCTGGCACGTTTTAACCAGCGAGTTTAAAAGTTAACACACTGAATAGGTCTTAACATATTTGACAGTAACTACTCGCAACATCTCAGCGACTGTGTGAATTTACATGCATATAAATTATTCTCGGTAAATAACATGAGTATATGTGGATCTTGTAAAAGTCGGTGGCGTCCTTGATGTTTACGGAATAGCATTCGCACAAATACAGATTAAAATTCATATAAACTGGATCATTTAACAAGAGCTGTCGGTAGGACAGCAACGCTCGACTATTCTTAGTGCTTGATAGTAAAAAAAATGCTTGATACAGTTACCTCCTCCTGTTTACAGGTTGGGGTCATGATGGTGAACAAGTGTGCAAAGTTTCAAAGCCATATGTCAATGGACTTTGAAAATATTTGAACTATTACAAAAACTTTAACGTAAATTCTAAGTCGAAAAAGGGGCATAATTCTGTCAAAATGCTTGATAGAGTTACCTCCTCCTGTTTACAGGTTGGGGTCATGATGTTGAACAACTGTGCAAGGTTTCAAAGCCATATGTCAATGGACTTTGAAAATATTTGAACTATTACAAAAACTTTAACGTAAATTCTAAGTCGAAAAAGGGGCATAATTCTGTCAAAATGCTTGATAGAGTTACCTCCTCTTGTCTACAGGTTGGGGTCATGATGGTGAACAAGTGTGCAAAGTTTCAAAGCCATATGTCAATGGACTTTGAAAATATTTGAACTATGGACTTTGAAAATATTTGAACTATTACAAAAACTTAAACGTAAATTCTAAGTCGAAAAAGGGGCATAATTCTGTCAAAATGCTTGATAGAGTTACCTCCTCCTGTTTACAGGTTGGGGTCATGATGTTGAACAAGTGTGCAAAGTTTCAAAGCCATATGTCAATGGACTTTGAAAATATTTGAACTATTACAAAAACTTTAACGTAAATTCTAAGTCGAAAAAGGGGCATAATTCTGTCAAAATGCTTGATAGAGTTACCTCCTCCTGTCTACAGGTTGGGGTCATGATGGTGAACAAGTGTGCAAAGTTTCAAAGCCATATGTCTATGGACTTTGAAAATATTTGAACTATTACAAAAACTTTAACATAAGTGGTTACGCCGACGCCGACGCTCGGGTGACTGCAATTGCTCTACTTATTCTTATCGAATAGTCGAGCTAAAAACGACAAAAGAAAGTACAATAAATCTGTTTTTGGGAGCGATCGTATTTTTTATAGTTTTGTGTACTTACGACATAAATATCAAAGATTTTTTTAAATTAATAAGAGCAAACTCAATTTTTATCAGCGCTAATTATTGCACTGCCTGGGTTCCCATATTTACTTGATTATGTCAAGTATTCTTGTTAACACAATCAAGTCCTACAACGATCAAGTACGTATATGCGACATTTGTGACAGTAAATTGAGGACATAAAGTCGAGTTTTCTTTCAAGTTTCTTAAATATTGCAAACGGATTTATTATGTCACTAACCTGGTTATCTGTCTGTACTTACATCCATTTCACGAAATACCGGCCGGAAAAGAGCCGACGCATGTTTGAAATATATAGAACAGAGACTGGGTAAGACGTATTTGTTGGGATAAAAGTTTGTCGGATCTTAAATTCGTGGATTGACCTACCCACGAAAATCACGAAAATTCGTGTCCCACGAATAATAATGATTTTACAGTAAGAGATATCTTTCTTTAGATTTGCCATCCTTACAGAGTTGGTGTTCTTGGCAATGAATTCCAAGTATTAACATTTACTTATCTTAACGAAAACAAAAAAATCTATACATTAAGCTGTAAGCACTATTCAAAATGATTTTAGGCAAAACAAAAACAAAAAAGTATCAAGTAGATTGCACTGACATTATTTCTGAGAAATTTCTAAGAGTATTAATGAAAATTACTTTTTCAAAGAAAGCTAACAAAATTCCACATTTAGTATTATTTGCAAAATTATTAGACAATATCTTATTGTTGCCATCTAACCTGACCATACTGTTGCCATCTGACCAAACTATGATGTTGCATCTTAAAATCTCTTGAAATATAACAGTACATTTCCAAATGTTAAGCAGGACATGTCTGTTTTACACTCAAAAACAAGGTTTGTGTTCAATTATGTATAGTAGAAAAACATAGAAAACTTATCAAATATGGATGAAAATCAAATTCTGCACCAATAAACAGCCAAATTTAGTTGCCTTATCTATTGCAATTTAGTTTCAACAGGTTTTTGCGTCAGCTCTGTGCCATTTACACCAATATTTATGACATAAAAACTTAAAAAATTACAATGAAAACATTTTAAAAAAGTAGCACTTAGAAAAAACAAACAAAAAACGTTTAACAATCTAATTTTTGAGAATAGCATTTTTTTTTTTGCTGTAACATGTAGACATGAGCTGTAACATGTGAAAACAACCTTAATACGTAACTAATGTGAGCATAACACAGAAAGAAATAACAAATAATAAAAGGAGAGTAGAAAAAATAAAATTTTAACAGTGAGCAATGTTTACACAATACAAGCTGTGAAGTAGAGGTTATATAGACAATTATAAAAACACACTGGGTAATACAGGATGTCATGTTATCTCATTCAAGTTTACTAGTTGGATTAAGTCTTATACATTTTCAGCTTTCTAATATTGTTCAGAATGAACCCAGGGGCAGTTTTGCACATTATTTTTGGCACAAGCTGAAACATTCCTGCATTATTTCTGGCTTTAGCAGACATTATATCAAGCATTATTTTTGGCACAAGCTGACACATTTGTGCATTATTTCTGGCTTTAGCAGACATTTTCATGCATTATTTCTGGCTTTAGCAGACATTTTCATGCATTAATTCTGGCACTGCAGACACCTTCGTGCATTATTTCCAGCACTGCATTATTTCCAGCTTTAGCAGACATTATTGTGCATTATTTCTGGCTTTAGCAGACATTTTTGTGCATTATTTCTGGCTTTAGCAGACATTTTCATGCATTATTTCCGGCTTTAGCAGACATTTTCATGCATTAATTCTGGCATAAGCAGGCACCTCTGTGGTAAAATCATTGATGTCCCTAATGCTAAATGAATAGGTTCCTAAAAAAGACGAATTAATGTTTCATTCCATTAAAGTGCTCCGGTTTTTTTAAATATTGATTCCATGCTTTACGTATTCAAACGGTTCACTGAAACTTTTATTTCACCCTGAATTTCTTGCAATTTTTGATCTTCAAAAGTCTCTGCATCTTTTAATTGTAAACAAACTTGTGAATTTAAAATACAGCTGTAAACGTTTTGACTTGTTTTTGTTAAATGTCAACCCTTGTCTCAAAAATTTCTTTGCCCTCGATCTTTGCATGACAAAATGAAAACGAAATATGGCAAAGAAATTACTTAAAATGTTATAATTTAACTTGCAAGAAACACACTTTGAAGTATTCTTTGGTTGCAAAGAAAATCATAGAATGTATACATTGTACAAAATGTATAAATTGGCAGGAATAATCATTTTTGTGCATATCTCAGGAATGAGGTGGCAAAACCGTCTTTTAATGCAAATTTTTAGTTAAACAAAAAGTACAAAATAAAGAACTTTGTCCTGAAAATATACATGTTTCTTAAAAACTGACAATATTTTGGGTGCCTGATTTTTAGTGTATGTGCTGTAAATCACTGATTAATATGTGCAAAAACATGTCTAATTTTAACATATAACATTAAAAAAAAAGAAGAAATACACGAGTACACTACCATATAATTAAGTTTTCTATAAAATGCACAAATTTACCCAACATGAATTAAAATATATCACATTTCAATAATGGATAATCACCCAGGATCATAACAAAAATAACTGCAGATCTTTTACAAAAATTATAAGTTTTAAGAAAAAAAAATTTTACATTCTAATATTTCTCAAAATAATTTTCTGAGAAAAAAAGAAAATTTACAACAAACTTTTATGTTGCAATGTCTTTATCGATTTGTACCCCTGTTGCAAGTTTTAAAATCGGAAACTATACTATTAGATGATAATTCGTATAATATGCAAAAAGCTTAGCTTCACTTTGAAAGTATTTCCTACATTTTAAAATTGTTTGTCATACACTCATAAAATGTATGTTTTTCCTTTTTCTCACAATTCACTGCTCATGTGATAATAGACCTATCAAATCTGGTTAACATTTTGGTATATAATTTACATAACTTGATCCACTAAAGTGGTACTACCAATATTGCCATTCATTTCCCTGCTTGATGTGTTTAAAGGCCCATTATGTCCCAGTAACAATTTTTTTTCTTTCTTTAAAAAGAGTAAACATGAGTTTTATAATGTCTACATAACAGTTTTTACAGCATGTTAGATGTTGATCATCTTAAAGGGACTCCACTGAGGAATTTTGACAAGCCAGGACTGGAAATATTTTTGCGAGGTTTTTTGGTACCAATAGATGTAGGTCTGGACCAGTTATTTGTGTGCACATTTTCAGCTTATTCCCTCTCTCTCTCTTTCCAGAATGATCATTTTACAATATAAAAGGACCCAAAAATGAATAGTATTGCAACGCTTTTCGCTTAAAATCAACTAAGAATTGTACAAAAATCGATTTCCAATTCACATCTGAGTATAATTCTTTGTCATCAATTGCAGATTTGTCCATTTTAAGTGTTTCACTTGATATTTGTTAGATTTTGAAATTTTATGTTTTTAGGTATTTGGACCTCAGTGGAGTTCCTTTAAGAAATTCAACTTGTGTTGTTGTTTTTTTAAACTAACTAGTATTCTTATCATTTCTTATATTTGTCTAAGTAAATCATTCTGTAACTTATTGTTTTTATGCAATGAACCTTAAACTTACAAATCAAAATGCTGTTAGGTGTCACTCTAGCGTTTGAGGTAGTACAACATTGAACAGAATTTACACAGCATTTAGGATAAAAACAGTACTACTTTTCAGAAGAGCTTCCAGAAAATATTTTGAACCCTGGGGCAAAAAAACCTATTTATACAGGGTGGTGAAATTTACAATATGAGTGACTTTATCACAACTGCAAAAATCTGTGATTTATTTCACATCTAAGAAAAACATGATATAAATATCCCTTGAAAATTTAAACATAATGCCCAGAAAGACAAAAATATATATGTATCGTATACGAAATTTGCTATTGTGCAAAAGACTGAAAAATACAAGATTTAAAAACTTAACTTTTTTGAATTTGTTTTATTTTTTGTGTGTGAATAACTATCATTGTCAAAACAGTTAAAGTTTAAGCATAATGCAAGCAATACACTGACTTATTTGTGTGCATATATTTGGTCACCTAATTTATTGATTTATGAAATTTCCTCAATTTACACTTGCAAAATGTTGCCAAGAAATTCCAAAACTGATTTTGAGAATATGTTCCATTTACAAATTAATGAAATTCCTTCAATTTTCACAAAAAAAATCCCAAAAGTAGTTTCTACGAACATTTCATACAAATATTGATCTCTTTTTTTTTCCCCTAAATAAATGTTTAAAAATTCATCAAAGTGACACTGACTGACACGTCTTGGATATTCTATAAAATTCTGCAATAAATCAGGCAAATGTTTTACACTACAATAAATCTTCAACCTCAAGTTCATATTTTCAATACAAATAAAGGCCAGATAAATTGATACACAAAATGTTTTCCTTTTCTTTTCCTGCAAACCAATTAGAAGCTTCTTTTTTTAAAATTTAAAGAACTTTTTTTTTATCAATTATGACAATATTGCTATAGAAAAATCAATGCTTCACAACATTTATGATCCAGAACAGAGCCCCTAAAAACTGGTAGAAAGACTAATAAAAATATTTTTAACATTAGACCTTGTTTTATATCCATTAAACAACTTCTCATCTTGCAGCTTACACAAAAAATAAGCACAACTTCTACTCTCTCCGTATATTCGTCTCAAGGCAGTGATCATTACTGGTATATATACAACCCGGTATATACACATCAGTTTTTTTCGACTGATTCAAATTTCCGCGAGTGCTGTTATATAGTTATAAATATTCTATGGATTATTTTTTCTTAGTATAGTCTATCACTATATTCAGAGTTTAGATATGGTTATAGCACAAGATAAATGCCTATGAAGACTTCACACCGAGTTGCTTGCGGACATTTTCATACACGACGTAGCTGATGCTAACAGCTGGAGCGACTTTGAGGAAATTTGGAGCGAGACCGCGGTAAAAACCTTTAAAGCCTTCTTGAGTGTAGATCTGTTTGAACATGGAGCTCATGGTGTGTGTGGATTTTGCTGAAAAACAGAGAAGAAAAAAATCCTGTAACAATTAGTTAAGTCTAAGCTCTAGAATTTATAGTGTTAGAGGTAGTTTAGTCTAAGCTCTAGCCTTTATAGTTTCAGAGAAGATGTTTTTTTAAATATTTTACTATATCCATATAAGGAAAACTTATGACCCCAAAGGTCAGGGCCAATTCTGACCCCCAAGGCTTTTGTTTTTATATGCTTGGTAGAGGACCATTAGATGATGTTTCATGCCCAAATTAATTAAAATCATATCCTAACTGCCACTACACTACCCTTCGCTACGTAGCCAAGAGTATTGGAGAGAAAACGATGATCTGATTTTAATATGATTGTTTCATGCAAAATATCTAAGCTTTAACCATTATGGCTTCAGAGGTGATTTTAAAAGAATTTTCTATATAAGTAAAAGTTCAAAGAGAGTTGTGGCCAGACGGACGCCAGAGAGTGAGTGATGACTATTACTCACCTTCAGCTAATTGTGCTCTGGTGAGCTATAAACAAAGATTTTGTTCTTAAACTAAATAAGAATGACTGAGAAAATAAACATTTTTTTACAAAGGTAAGCTACAAACACTTAATTGATAATTATAATCTTACCGTCTGCCTGCAGTTTTGTTCTAACAAGGGCGAGGGGATAACTACACAGTTGACCACACGTGGAGCTGGTCGTACCACATGCCAACAATACCATCACTCCAGGATCTTGGTCCTTATATTTTCTCATGTATAACTTTTTTAATGTCTAAATTCAAAAAAAATAAAGAAAGAAAGAATTTCTTGCAAGAATCCTGCCAAATCTTAGAGTAACAAACAAAACTTTTTTATCATTCCAAATGATTTTTTCTTCCAGTGTGATTTCAAGTACAGAGATACACACAGTTTATACAGAATTTACTTTACTTTGATTGTATAGGAAGCTTGTAGCTTTACACACACTTTCAAATCTGTTCCTGGAACCTAGCAGTACCTAGCATTTAGTGTAAAGTTTCATGTTCAAGGATTGCAAAGTAAACCCCACCATTTACACTATGAGGCATTCTTTGCATTTCAAGGCACAAAATATGTATACAGAACAAAATTTGCATATTCAATGCATATTCAAGGCGAATTTTCGCTTATAAATAACATATATATTACACATTCATACCACAATATATAAATGAAAGGACCTAAACTATTTTTTTCATCTTTTTTTATTATTTACATATATACAGTGCATTTTTCCAGGTTTAGCATTTGAAGAAAACCACAGATGTTCTTCAAGTACTATTTCAGTCACAAGCAGGCATCTCCAAGTAGAACCACTTTACTTCCATATACAAGTTGGATAGCTTCTTTACTTAAAGGTATCCATGGCAATATTCAAATGTAAAGCAATAATTATATTCACTTTCTAGTTAGAATCAATAAGTAGTAAAATAGGAAAAAGCACAAATACATAATATACCTCATATATACACAGATCTATTCCAGCGTAAGGTATTATACCAATAATATTTGGTACATAACCCTTAAAAAATACACCTGGACCCTCGTTTTTCCAGAGTTTCATGGCACAGTCTATCACGCCACTATACTGGCCGGTTTTGCGTATTGCTAGACGTGTTTTCAATACCTGAAATACAAAACATAAAATTAACATTATATCCTAACCCTTCAAATGTTTAAATCTCACACGCAGGTCCATGCAGTCTGACAAGGCACTATACTGTTGACTAAAAAAAATTAAAATTTTTATCTCAATATCACCAATTTTTTTTTATTTGCTTTGTTTTACATCGCACCAAATATATGGCAACTTCCAAGCTTTAAAGGTGGAGAAGACCTCAGGTGCCCTTCCGTTATTTCAGGCACAAACAGGTTCCTAAGAAGAACCATTTACATTCTGTTAACTAGCTGGATTGTTTCCTCACATAAAATAATCCAATGTCTCTGGCAGAATTTAAACCTACAGCGGTGAGGAGCAAAGTGGTTTTAAATCAATGACCGTAACCAATCTGCCATCAACGCCCTTGCCCAGCTTTGGAAAGGATGGTTTTGCAAGTTCATTTCGATTTCAGAAATTCAGCTGGATAAGATTTAACTTATTCAAATCAATTATGAAACAAGTTCTTTTATATTATATTGATCACTTCCAATCCTTCTTCCTGGAAATTACTGATATCATATCATATAAGTAAACATGGTTATGACCCAGGTTGAGACCAATGACTACTGAGTTGAGAGGCAGTCACCTTGATTACTATTCCATTGCTCCCAATCAGAAGTGTGTATGATGTATAATGTTTAATACAAAAATTCTTTTCACTCAATAATGTCCATCATAATATAAAAGATAGTGAATACAGTTCCATGTTATATGTAAAAAATATTTCAATTATCATTATATAAGTTTCTATTCTTGCCTAATAATTTTTGGCGTGTAGCCACGTGAACTATTGTGACAAGACATCATAAAGTTCATTATCTTACTCAAAACAACTTGAAAAAAATCATGGTGGCTATCTTTAAGGTATAATAAATAAAAGACTAATTCACAAAAAAACAAAACAAAAAAAAAACAACAAAAAAACCCCCATTGAAATAAGCCACAAAAAGTTCAAACGTAGTTAAAGATAGCATCAAGATTAAATTAATTTCATTTCTTACCTCCATGGGGTATATACATGTTTGAGAAAATGCCCCTGCAGATGAACCAGCTGCAAATCTTTCTAAAGGTCCTATCTCCTTATTTTCTGATTTAAATATAGTCTTAAACTGAAAAACAACAACAATATTCATCTCAAATTTAATGTATTTCGAGTAATTTTATTTTGTTTTCATACCGCACAAACACAGCATAGGTCATATGTTGAATTTCCAGCATAACTGGTGGAGGAAGACTGCATTTATCTCCAGTATATTATTTCAAGCATGATCTGGCACCTGAGTAGAACCACCAACCCTCTGTAAGCTAGCTGGAAAGCTTCCTCACATGAAAGAATCTGAAGTCTCTAACGGGATTCAAACCCACAAAGGCGAGGGGCAAAAGATTTGAACCACTCAGCCACAGAGGCAACTAAACTTTATAATGAATAGTTTACCAGTAGTCTAATTTACTAGCATCATGGTTTAACCCAAAACCAGTTGTATACGGGTATGATTATTATCAAAACTCATACAAAACATATGCAAAGCATTTTTCTAGCTAATTATGTAAGTGAGAGAAAACATTCAGTCACTGCTATACAGATGTCACCAGGTGAGAAAATTGTGCAGCCTGACTGGGACTCTAACCCGGAACACTCAGAATACCATTCAACGGCTATTTCCAACCCCTAAATAGTGCTGTAACACTGAGAAAGGATTCTTTAGTTCAGTGGTCCACAGGATGTTCACAGTTGTGTTAGAAACACAATCTGATATTACATATATCAGATAATAAAATGTTCTAAAACAAAATAATGTTCATTCTAAATCACTTAGAATTTTTACAAATTTTTTTAGCTATATTTTATAATAATATATAAATGATACATTTCAATATATGAAATATTTATGGAAAAACTGCCCACTGTAAGTTCTAGATTTACGACTGTTGTATGGAAAAAGTAATATTTATTTCCGTTACCTGTTCATATGCCATAAACTTTATGGCTGATTCAGGAGCTATTTTTATCACATTGATGCCATTTCCACGCCAAAGTGACTTCACACCGCCCTCTTTTAACATATGTCGAAAACCATCACCTATAGTTAGTTTATTTTTCTTCTCTATTTTTGACCCGTGTACCTACAAAGGAGAAGAAAAAATTTCATATATACCTTGAATTCATCTACATAAATATGACAAAGTGTTTGTATTAAGCAGTTTGTTCAACTACTACTAGGTTACTGCCGTTCTCTCTACGTAACCAAAAGTATGTATCCCTCCTTTTTCAACTAAGAAACATACATGAAGCTGATTTCATGGAATATTTCAAACAAAAGCCGACCCCTGTGCAGTACAACAGAAATTATGTAATCTAATCAAATTCACAAGTTCTTGTGACACAGTTTGAACCCATTGCAAGCAGACAGCAAGAAATTTAAAGAACAAGCAATCATCATAGTATTGCAAGCAATCCATAAGTCCCCTACCAGTTAGAACCCCAGCAACATTCTGATGGGCCATTGGCCATTCAATTTTACCAGTGAATGAATGACATGAATGAACTTAAATCTTTTGAGTTCTAAGTTTGTCTTTATCACAGTAATGTGTTCGGTTTCCCTGCCTAGTAAGAAAATAATGTTTATACAACCTTGTCATATTATTACGATGTGGGATTTTAAAGTAAATCCTATAAGGAATGAAGAAGTTGGAGTGAAAAATACCAATTTCCCGAAACAAATCTAAGTTCAAGGGGGACATAATTCTGGAAATAGTCTTGCTAGAGTATTTAACCTTCTCAAAAATGTTGAGTGATAATAAGAAACATATCTATGAAGTTTGAAGTAGATACATTAGGAAATAAAGAAGTTATTTAAACAAGAGGGCCATGATGGCCCTGAAGTCGCTCACCTGTATATAGGCCCCCGGAGCGGGGCCAGTTTAAATCCCAGGGCTTTTATTTGAACAAACTTGGTAGACACCCATTAGAAGATGTTTCATGCTAAACATCTAAGGTCTAGCTGGTCAAGTTTTTTCTTTACACATATAGTTAAAAACAATGACACACCTGGGGCAGGGCCAGTTTTGACCCAAGGGCTTTTATTTGAACAATCTTTGTAGACACTTACTAGAAAATGTTTCATGCTTAATATCTAAACTCTAGCTATTCGGGTTTTTTCAAAGAAGATTTTTAAGTTTTTGCTATACACATATATGGAAAATTAATGTCCCCCGGGGCGGGGCCAATTTCGACCCCAGGGCTTTTATTTGAACAAACTTTGTAGACACTCACTAGAAGATGCTTCATGCTTAATTTCTAAACTCTAGCTATTTGAGTTTTTTCAAAGAAGATTTTTAAGTTTTTGCTATATACACATATAAGGAAAATAAATGACCCCCGAGGCGGGGCCAATTTTGACCCCAGGGCTTTTATAAGAACAAACTTGGTAGACACTCACTAGAAGATGTTTCATGCTTAGTATCTAAACTCTAGCTATTTGTTTTTTTTTTCAAGGAAGATTTTTAAAGTTTTTGCTATACACATATAAGGAAAATCAATGACCCCCTGGGGCGGGGCCAATTTTGACTCCAGGGCTTTTATTTGAACAAACTTGGTAGACACCCATTAGAGGATGTTTCATGGTAAATATCTTAGCTCTAGCTCTTTGGGTTCTTTAAAAGAAGATTTTTTAAGTTTTTACTATATGCATATAGGGAAAATCAATGACCCCCTGGGGCGGGGCCAATTTTGACCCCAGGGCTTTTATTTGAACAAACTTGGTAGACACTCACTAGAAGATGTTTCATGCCAAATATCTAAGCTCTAGCTTTTTGGGTTTTTTAGAAGAAGATATTTAAAGTTTTTTCTTTTGGTTGCCATAGCAACCAGAGTTCTGCATGGAATTAAATTCTTTGAACAATTTTCAAAGGTGACCACCAAAGGAACATTCCTGTGAAGTTTGGATGAAATTGGCTTAGTGGTTTATGAGAAGATGTCATTTAAAGTAAAAGTTTACGGACGCCGGACGGACGCCGGACGGACGACGGACGAAAAGCGATCACAAAAGCTCACCCTGTCACTTTGTGACAGGTGAGCTAAAAAGACAACATTTTTTTTTCATAAAAATTCTAAGTTCAAGGGAGGTTATACTGACAATTTTTGTGCTAGAGTTGTAAACCTTGTCACATATGATGTGGTTGATGACCAGAAACTTATATTTAAAGTTTGAAGTAAACACCTTAAGAAATAAAGAACTTATAGTGAAAAAGCTGAAAATTTTAAATCAGAAATCTTGAAATTCAGGCTATTTGTTGCCATAGCAACCAGAATTTTCAACATAGGAAGATAAGAAAAAGATGTGCATAATCTCCAGACTGCTATCTACCCATATTTTAAAGTTTCATAAAAATATTTTCAGTACTTTTAAAGTTATCACTGGATCCAGTTTATGTGTTAAATTTGCCATATTTTCAGACTATTTGTTGCCATAGCAACCAGAATTTTCAACATAGGATGAAAAAAAAAAAGACGTGCATAAACTCCATACTGCCATCTATCCATATATCAAGTTTCATAAAAATATTTTCAGTACTTTTTGCATAATCGCGGGATCCAGTTTTGTGGCAGACGGACTGACAGACAGACTGATGGACGGTAAACCTAAAGTCCCCTCCGGTTAAACCGGTAGGGGACTAACAAAGGGAGATTATAACTAACATAACAATACACGGTAAGTTTCATCATTTACCTGGAACAATATCTTCAATCTGTCTAACGGAGCCGTACATGTACGTGAAACAGCACCAGCTGCTCCACCAGACACTAGGTGGCGCCACCACATTCCCGTCTTCATCTCAGTCTCTGTGAAATCATCCGGAACTATTGCATTTTCACCAATATCAATTATCTACATAAAAGACAAACACAAATTTATCATTAATATTTCTTTTTATTGTTACAGTCTTATATAATATATATGTGAAGGTGCAGGGAGTGTTGAATAAGAATGGTTTTTCCATTAGATCATATACATATTTATGTTTGCATTTTTGAAAAAGAAAATTAAAATACAAAGAAAATGATTTTTTTTGCATAAAAAACGAAGCAGCAATTAATTTTATGTACCTTTCTGTTTTTTTATTCATAAATGATTTATACAGCTGAGAGGAAGACATCCTTTCAGTTTATACAGAATTTATTTCGGCTTAATAGTGTAGGAAGCTTTATGCTTATGAACTCACTCTTAAATTTATTCCTGAAAATAACCAGTACTGAACAATGTGTTTAAATCTTTTGCTTAAGGATATAACGGCTTGCCGCTGATGGGGTTTGAATCCAAGCAGCTAGGCATCCTTAGATTACTTGTCTGAGGCATTTACCACTCAAATATATATAACCTTTTTAAAACCAGACTGCTAGACAATTGGATTACTATGCCATCACTACAGCATTCACTGTACAGTCTGATCAGACTCAATATTGCTGGCTGGTTAGTTTTGTTATTTCTTAAATTACATGTACAAATGAACAGCTCCGCATTCAAAGCAGTGCAAGTCCATTATACAAAACCTGGCAGGGCAAGTCCTCCATTACACAAAATTTTGCAGGGCAAGTCCATTTCACAAATATTTGCAGGGCAAAGCCTTTATAAAAATTTTGCAGGGCAAGTCAATTACATAAATTTTTGCAAGTCAAGTCAGTTACAGAAATTTTTGCAGGTCAGATTTGTTACATAAATTTTGCAGGGCAAGTCTCATATATAAATTTTGCAAGGCAAACCTGTTACACAAAAATTTACAAAGCAAATCAGTTACATAATTTTTTGCAGGGCAAGTCCTCCATTACAGAACATTTTGCAGGGCAAGTCCATTACACAAAATTTTGCAGGGCAAGTCAATTACACACATTTTTCAGGGCATGTTTGTTACATAAATACTACAGGGCAAATCTGTTACATTAATTTTGCAGGTCAAGTTTATTACATTAATTTTGCAGGGCAATTCAATCACACAATTTTTAGCAGGGCAAGTCAGCTTTATAAATTTTGCAGGGCAAGTCAGTTACATAAATCAAGCAGGGCAAAAGTTTAAGCAATAGAAAAACTTAAGTACCTTCAGGCAAAATTTCAGCAAACATATTTCATGCATTAACTCAAAGTAGGCAACAGGCAAAAGCTAAATCCATAGAAATGAAAACAAGAGGGCCATGATGTCACCTTTATTGCTCACCTGAGTAACAACTACAATAACATTTATCTTTAAGCTTATTGGAAGCATGATAAAATTAAAAATAATGTCAAAGTCATTTAGGCGTCAAGGTCATATTTGAACAACTTCACATGATGAGCAGTCTAAAATATTGTTCAAGTATGAACCAAATTTGTATATTAATAACAAAGTTATGGTGATTTTAGCAAAGTTAAATGATTTGGCCTTGAAAGTCTAGCACATATGAAGCTGAAGGTCATTCAACATTATAACTTTATTGAGTAAATATGACCTATTTAAAGGTTTATTTTGAGAGCTTTCATGTCACAGTTTTAATATAATACATCAATAAATATCAATGTTAAAGCTGACTTTATCAACATTCAAGGAACAGACTTTGAAGGTCAAGGCCATTCATGAGTGAAGGTTCAATTTCTTACAGTATCTACAATATCATGTCAATTACTTCAGTCAAGTTAAAATTGTGGTTATTGCCAATTTTATGATATTTCAACAATTTGACTTTAAAGCTCAATGTCACACCTATTTCTCACCAGTGTTTTTTTTTAATAATACCCATGACATGTTTCATAAATCACCTAAAAGATACACTTGTCTTGTTTGAAAAAATTTTGGAATTCTGGACGGACACCAGACAACCAGCAACTTTTTTTAGCTCACTTGAGCCACTATGTGCTCAGGAGAGCCTTAAAGTAATTCTGGTTTGAATTCAAACATTATTTCTTACATCAAACTTTTATATGATCTCTTCTAGCTAACACACTTAACGCAAAACATAAAGCTGTCAAAAGTACTAGAATTTTTTAAAGCATAACACAAAAATTCTTGCCTTGTAGACCTAACAACAACCATTCAACACTTCTAACCTTTCGCCTATACTTCTGATAGCAAAATAAAAATCCAAAGCTTGCAGAAATAGATTAGTGAGTCATGATGGTTAGCTGTCAAAAAAAATATGATCTAATGACCCAGTTTCTGATGTCCTGAAAATGAAACTTTGCTAGAACTCGATCAGACAAACTTTTGATGAAATATTTGAAATGGAGGATGCTTAAATAAGTTGCTGATGAAAGATGCTTAAATAAGTTACTGATGTAGGATGCTTAAATAAATTACTGATAAAGGATGCTTAAATAATTTAATGATAAAGGATGCTTAAATAAGTTACTGATTGAGGCTGCTTAAATAAGTTACTGATGGAGAATGCTTAAACAAGTAATTGATGGAGGATGCTTAAATAAATACCTGATGGAGGATGCTAAAATAAGTAACTGATGGAGGATGCTTAAATAAGTTACTGATGGAGGAGCCTTAAATAATTTACTGATGGAGAATGCTTTAATAAAATACTGATGGAAAATGCTTTAATAAGTTACTGATGGAGGATGCTTAAATAAGATACTGATGGAGGATGCTTAAATAATTTACTGATGGAGGATGCTTAAATAATTTACTGATGGAGAATGCTTAAATAAGCTACTGATGGAGGATGCTTTAACAAGTTACTGATGGAGGATGCTTAAATAAGTAACTGATGCAGAATGCTTGAATAAGTAACTGATGAAGGCTGCTAAAATAAGTAACTGATGGAGAATGCTTAAATAAGTAACTGATGGAGGCTGCTTAAATAAGCTACTGATGGAGGATGCTTTAACAAGTTACTGATGGAGGATGGTTAAAAAAGTTACTGATGAAGGATGCTTAAATAAGTAACTGATGGAGGATGGTTAAATAAGTAACTGATGGAAGATGCTTAAATAAGTTACTGATGGAGAATGCTTAAATAAGCTACTGATGGAGGATGCTTTAACAAGTTACTGATGGAGGATGCTTAAAAAAGTTACTGATGAAGGATGCTTAAATAAGTAACTGATGGAGAATGCTTAAATAAGTAACTGATGGAGGATGCTTAAATAAGTAACTGATGGAGGATGCTTAAATAAGTTACTGACGGAGAATGCTTAAATAAGCTACTGATGGAGGATGCTTTAACAAGTTACTGATGGAGGATGCTTAAAAAAGTTACTGATGAAGGATGCTTAAATAAATTACTGATGGAGAATGCTTAAATAAGTAACTGATGGAGAATGCTTAAATAAGCTACTGATGGAGGATGCTTTAACAAGTTACTGATGGAGGATGCTTAAAAAAGTTACTGACGGAGAATGCTTAAATAAGCTACTGATGGAGGATGCTTTAACAAGTTACTGATGGAGGATGCTTAAAAAAGTTACTGATGAAGGATGCTTAAATAAGTCACTGATGGAGAATGCTTAAATAAGTTACTGACGGAGGATGCATTAATAAATTACTGATGGAGGATGCTCAAATAAGTAACTGATGGAGGATGCTTAAATAAGTTACTGATGGAGAATGCTTAAATAAGCTATTGATGGAGGATGCTTTAACAAGTTACTGATGGAGGATGCTTAAATAAGTAACTGATGGAGAATGCTTAAATAAGTAACTGATGGAGGATGCATTAATAAATTACTGATGGAGGATGCTTAAATAAGTAACTGATGGAGGATGCTTAAATAAGTTACTGATAGAAGATGCTCAAATAGGATACTTATGGAAGATGCTTTAATAAGTTGATGGAATATGCTTTAATAAGTTGATGGAAGATCCTTTAATAAGTTGATAGAAGATGCTTTAATAAGTTGATGGAAGATCCTTTAATAAGTTGATGGAAGATGCTTTAATAAGTTGATGGAAGATACTTTAATAAGTTGATGGAAGATGCTTTAATAAGTTGATGGAAGATGCTTTAATAAGTTGATGGAAGATCCTTTAATAAGTTGATGGAAGATGCTTTAATAAGTTGATGGAAGATGCTTTAATAAGTTGATGGAAGATCCTTTAATAAGTTGATGGAAGATACTTTAATAAGTTGATGGAAGATCCTTTAATAAGTTGATCTAAGATCCTTTAATAAGTTGATGGAAGATGCTAAAATAAGTTACTGTTGGCGGATGCTTAAATAAGCTGCCGACGGAATATGCTTATATAATTGTGATGAACAAAGTTTAATTTAGTTTCTGATACATCATCACTTTTAATCAAGATTATAAATAAGGCATTAAGTAATGTTACTGGTGCTTGCAGACCTAAAATACACATTCTGAACATGCAACTGCGTAGACCCATCAACCATCAGTAAGCCAGAAAATTGATCATTATATAATGAAAGAACTGAACACCATTTGCAGAATTCGATAATAATTTGATTGGGTTTTACATCGCACCAACACAGAATATGGCTACTTTCCAGCTTTACTGGGGGAGGAAGACTTCTGGTACCCTTCCATGCATTATTTCAGGCCAAAAATGGGATAGCTTCCTCACATGAAAGAATCCAAAATTCCTGTCAGGATTCAAGCCCACAGCGATGAGGTCGATACATAGTAACAAGGGACAAGAAATCAAAAGTCAGCAACTGTAACTGCCAGGTGTCAGATTCAGTTTAATATCATTCAATATAAAGGTAATATTTTTCACATAATAGTTATATTAAACCATAACTAAGCTATATACATACTGTAGAGTGTCTCCAGTAATGGAGAATATCATGAAGGTTGTTGCTAGGTGACAATATCAGAAAATCTCTCCACTCCCCATAGTCTATCGCTAACGTGCCATCTGTGTCCATTCTACAGTAACAAATTCATTTTAAACATACGTCTTTAAAATTATCTACTATGCTAATAAGTTCATTTTTAAACTCCAAAATTACCTGAAAAGCAACAAATTTGTTCACCTAGTTTTGAACTACTTTCAAAGACTCTACTAAATCAAGTAGACTTCATAGGAAGTAATATTTTGTTATAGAATTGTTATCGAACATTGTTTGGGTATATTCTGGGAACAATTAAGTTTACTCTATATTTTGTAAAAATACTCGGTAGTTAAAGCAACATTTAACCTGACAATGGTGTGATAAAATATCATGTCCTCACCTTTTCAGGAGGTTTTCAGCTTCGGCACTGGACACATTGACACCCATATTCTCAAAGGATGCTTTGATCTCACTGGCATCAATAACACCTGAAATAAAAATCATTGTTTATTCATGAATAAAAACACACAAACAAAATGGTTTTGATAACACCTGGTATGGGTTATATCCCCTTCAACATGTTTATAAGCCACCTGGCTTTGTTTGGTAAATTTTGTTTGCATTCCTTAATTGGCTGGTACTAATACATGTATATCCCCATCTAAGTGTACCAGCCCCCTTATCAACAAAATGTAATCTAAGTATTGCTAGCTGATTGGGTTCAAACCCCATCAGGCGCAAGCCATTCTTTCCTTGAGCAAGAAACTATAGTTTGCCCTTACAAAATGAATCAAAAGTCCTTGGTTTGATTCCAAACTTATTAGTGGCAAAAGGGAAGAAACAATTCAATTTGCTTGGGGCTGCTTTAAATTGAAATTGTTGAAATTGACACTTTTAGTCATACAGCTACAATTGCTTTCCAGCTTAACTGATGGAATACACCCCTCCTGTGCCTCTCCTTGCACTATTTCAGGCAATGCCAACCTGTAAAGTTTCAGATCAAAAAAGAATCCACAGTCTAATTTGGTAAATGAACCAAATTGGGTAAATGGATCAGTGGCTAAATGAACCAAATTTGGTAAATGAACCAAATTGGGTAAATGAACCAAGTTGGGTAAATGTACCAAATTGTGTAAATAAACCAAATTGGGTAAATGAACCAAGTTAGGCAATGAACCAAATTGGGTAAATGAACCAAATTGGGTAATTAACCTAACTGGTTAAATGAATTAAATTGGGTAAATGTACCAAATTGTGTAAATAAACCAAATTGGGTAAATGAACCAAATTAGGCAATGAACCAAATTGGGTAAATGAACCAAATTGGGTAAATGAACTAAATTGATTAAATGAACCAAATTGGGTAATTAACCAAACTGGTTAAATGAATTATATTGGGTAAATGTACCAAATTGTGTAAATAAACCAAATTTGGTAAATGAACCAAATTAGGCAATGAACCAAATTGTGTAAATAAACCAAATTGGGTAAATGAACCAAATTAGGCAATGAACCAAATTGGGTAAATGAACCAAATTGGGTAAATGAACCAAATTCAGCAACCTAGCCAATAAAGACCACTAAATGATAATAAAGTTTACCATCTTGATTGGTGTCCAGCTTCTTGAAGTAGAGTTTGAGTTTTTTCTCGTGTTCTGTGACGTACTTGAGAAACTCGTCAAATGACATCTTCCCGTCTTTATCCTCGTCATGTTTCATCAATTGCTGAAACAAAACAATTGGCATTATTAGCACTGTCTTTTAAAATACAAAATTAATAGGAAATAGTATATTAAAGTAACAGTGAGGAACAGCCTGTCAGAAACTGGGAATGGTTTTTAAAATTTATTTAAATAACTACCAGATATCTCTACTCTCTAAAATATAATTGAAATACTGAAATACTATTCTATTCACAAATCATAAGCTTCTCTAGAAATATCCTTCATTATACATTTGTAGTTATTCTTTTCTTTCATTATCATTTTGATAAAAAAATAAATACTTTCTTTTAACAATCAAAGAACGCAAGAAACATTCAAGTAAAGAACAATTTATTAAAGTCTCTACAAATTTTATTTCACATAAATGGTATGTCTATCGATTGTACTTTAAATTTGGCAGAAGTTTTGCTCATTATCAATTTCATTGAGTACTAAAATATGCAGACTGGCCAAAACTCTATAACAGAGGGTAAGGGCTTGTGTCTTTATTGATGTAAGAGTTCTGAAACAAACTTTTAAATAATCTTGTTCAGTCAGAAGGACTAGTCTAGCATTATAGTGCATGTACTCAAGATTTAAGTACTGATGTAAGTTCTTAAAGAAACTTCACCCTAAAAACACAAAATTTGATTTTTTTTAAATAAATCAGCTGGGACACTTAAGACAGAAAAATATGCAAAAGATAATTAAGAAATATACTCCAAAAAATATTTAAAATCAAATAGTATTTTTGTGCAAATGTTTGCTCAATTTGAGTGAAAAGTGCTTAAGGCTTTTAAATTTTGTTTTAATTTTTTCCAATAAGAATAATAATTCTGCACAAACCAAGTGAGCGACTGATCTGAAATTTAACACACATTTCTGGTTTAGACCTTCATCAAACTGAACATTAATCTCGAAAATTTTTATATCAAGTCCTGTAATGTCAATAAACCTTTTTAATCTTAAATTTACACCTAAAAAAATATTTTTAAAAAGAAAACTCTTGCAATAGACTTTTATTCAAACAATTTACTAATATTTAAACTACAAATAAAAACAACATCAACCACAACAATATTAATTGCATCATTCACGTCAAAACACAGGAATTTATTTTCATTTCCCAGGTTAAATAACTCTTGTAGGGAAAAGAAATAAACAACCATTGTTGGCAGGGTTTAAAATTTAAACATGGCCAAATAAGGAAATAAAAATAGGGAAAACATTTTGTTTGGTAAAAAGTGTAATAAATAAAAAGTTCCGTGTCGGATATAAAAATTTCTAAATTTAAAAGTTTGGGGTTCTTAAAATAAATACACTTGGTAATTAAAGAAATACAAAATAACATATAAACACACATAAAACTTTTACCTCTTATAAGCTAAAACTTTTATTTCTTTTTTTAAGACCATCTCTGCATAACATGCTTTTAGGCCTATTATTTTTTGGTATGGTGTATTCAATATAAATACAGTTACGAAACCTTAATTGTAAGGAAAGCTCAAAACCTATTTGAACCAAAATCCCAATACTGCTTCCAAAGGTGATGTAACCATTACTTGTGCCATTCATTTCTGTATATAACCCAGAAATAGGTAGCAGTTAATGTTTATTCTTCAGTATTTCTGATTCTGTCCTCTTGTTATCTGCGTAATGAATTAAGACAATTTTCTTTTAGCACGAAATTTACCTCTGACTGAATTTTGTTTTTTGTTTTAGTGTCTGTTACCTCCGAAATAAGTGACATAAATCAGTCAGTGTAACAAAACATATCCTGTTACTGTACAAAAAACTGCCAGATAGCTTCCTAATTCACAGTGAAGATAAATACAGGTGTAACAACTGTATGATTTATTGTAAGATGCGTAGTAAACTAGTTTCATGGAAAATTTTAAACAATAAGTGACGCATTGATTAAAGGCTGGTTTATTTTGTATGAAATGATTTTATCTTGATCACTGAATATTGAATCCAAGATAAATATTTGATGTTAGTATTAATATGACATTTCATTCATGCTTGATGTAATTTTTATCAGCAAGGAAGAAATTTCAATGGTCACTGACATATTATTGCCAGACTGTCATCTAGGGAGAACACGTTCTCGTTTTATGGTCAACTTGATTGAATTGACCAGAATATAATAGTGTTATGGCCTAATGGAGCTTTTAGATTTGTGCTGCAAGGCTATTTTAGTGATCTGTGTCACATGACTTGATATGATATTGGCGAGGGTTAAATGGCTTTGATATCCCAGATCAATACTCAACATGCTACAATACCATCATCAATATTGAATACATCGCCAATTGACATTTTGTAAATGTTAAAACTAAATATTATAACCTAGATTTTTTGTCTCAGAGGTAATAGTACAAACAGGGATTTTTCTCCATACTTTTGCTACTGAAACTATACAATGCCTGTTAATCTAACTCTGAATATTTTTTTTGTGTCCATGACTAATTTTCCAGCCATTCATGAATTAGATCTCAATTGTCTCAGAGACGCACTAAGATCCTTTTTCCGCAACAATGCTTTCCCTGACAATGTTTTTCCCAGACAATGTTTTTCCTAGCCTTTAACAATGGTTTTCCTAGCCACAAGAAAATGTTTTTCCAAGACAATGTATTCCTACCAAATTTTTTCCCCAGACAATGATTTCTCTAGATAATGTTTTCCTAGACAATCTTTTTCCCCCCAGACAATGCTTAACCAATTGTTTTTACCCAGAAAATTTTCAAGTTTATTCAAAACAACATAAGGAGAATTGTTACATACTTATTAGCCTATTGTTACATTTTAAAACTATAAAAAATGTCACAAAGTTTACTTTCTTTATATTAAAAGAGAACACATCATGTCCCAAAAATTAATTTAAAGAATTATCTTTAAACCTGTGACCCAATGAGATAGGTTTTATCAAGCCATATATCAAAATTTTTGTCAACACTCCAACATAAAATGATATCATACATCTACAACCATTAAGTATAATCAAATATGACTTTCCACCCACAAAGGTCATCTGATATTTAAGTACATATAAATAAATTTCTTAGCTTTTCTCGCAATCAATTCGTATTGCCAAAACATATTGAATATGTCTTTACAAATTTTGTAATATCAAAATAACAAAAAGCGAAATTCAAATGAGATGCTAATCTGTTGGTAAAGATTAACTTTTCAGATATTGTATGTAATGGTAAATATAGGATATCAAAATACAATCGTAATACTCATTCAACCTGTTCAAAACAGATAAAACACAAACAATTGGCTACCATGAGTAATCTTGTTTATATTATATTGTATTACATTCTCTTTTACTAAACCAAAAAACTTAAATTTTAATGTACAGGAACTGTCATTACCGGGACTCTGCTTCAAAAACTTCACTTAACAAAATGTGTCCATTGGGCATGGATCCCCTACAATTCTCCTGTTTTGTCTTTTCTATTTAATTATGGACAAGAGTGGGCTAGTTATTTAATAAATTTTTCAAGCTTTACCTGGTGGAGCAAAACCCTCGGTTTTGCCCTTTTGTACATTATTTTTCAGGCACAAAACAGCTCCCAAGTAGAACCACAGACAATCCTTAACATTTTCACTCACATTCAGAAAGGTTATATAGGGCCTAAATTAATGGAATTCAACAACTTTAATCGAAGCACACCAGTATGAACTACACTGCTTTTCATATTCCACATATTTCTTCATATATGTTCAACCCAAATGAGAGCGTCAATCTTTGCAAATGAAACATTACAGAAGTGGTTGATTTAAAGTAGGTTAAACAATATAATTATTCAAGCGCAGAAAAAAACCATTTAGTCAAACAGATAAATCAAGTTGTGTGTTTTCAACAATGAAATGAGCAAAGAAATTCAAAGTCCATTACCAGGCCCAAATTTTAAATGTAGTAGATTAAAAAATACTACAAGTTTCACGTTTTTAAAAAAAATGCCCCTGCAGCATTCCCGCTTCCCGACTCTCATTTAATACCCCGTTTATCAAAGGGTACCTCTGATTTATTATAGCACAACTGAAGATACTATTTAATTTTTTTTTTCCCACCATAAAATTTAAAAGTTTATGAAAAAATTTTATATTTTTCCCCCCAAAAACTTAAAAAACCTTTTTCGTAAAACCCTTGACTTACAACATTTGGCGTTGATTTCTTTACACATCTTTTCAAATTTTTAATGTTCACCTAAAAGAAGTAATTTCCCTTTCATTAAAGTCTGTTGCACCCTTTTTTACCAAAAAATAATTTTCACCTTAAAGGCCGTAACTGGTTAAAATCCTATAAAATTTTTGGGACTTATCCCCATACTCACTAAAGTTTATAAATTTAAATCATGCTTAACAAATAAACCAATATTACACTAAAAACAGTCAATATTACTGGTTCAGACCACAACAATTATAGTGTAAAATACCCTCCTTTAACATAATAAATTTTCTGAAAACCCCAAACCACAATTTCATTTAAATATTGACTAATAGCAATTCAAATCTCCAGAGGCTTAAAAGCAAAAATACCATAGCTTTGATGAAAAAAGAAAAAAACAATCTTTTAAACGAAAGCAGCTCATGAAATTTTTAAACCCTTCATTTTGAAGTAAAGACATGCAATTTCACCCCTTAATTATGTGCAGAAAAACTAATTCTAGAACCATTTAAACCAATGTTATGTTATGTTTAACTTAAATTCAAATGCAACAACACTAAAATTCTTGCATAAAACTGTGCATGCAGAACTGATAGATCAATTCAAGGTACCACGCGCCAGTAACTTCATTATCCACACAAACTGTCAAATGACAGACTAGTATGTGGTAAAGCATGGCAAAATGATTTCTTTATACGAAATACAGATAATGCAACTTCAGATTTAGATGTACACTTTTATGCAAGAATAGCCCTATCACTGCGGGTTTGGGCATTAAATGTGTCCTTGTGCTCCTGCGGATGTTAATGCACGAAAAAAATTTACATTAACCCTCTATTATAATACACAGTGAGTACGCCCACATATGACATGTAGCACATAATCATAGTTAATATGTAGCACATAATCATAGTTAATTCACTCAAATATACTCAAACCAAAACAACATTCTGTTATTTCAAACATAATCAAATGACCATAGGAATGCATTCAATATTGACACATCTCCACATTAAAAATCACTTTTTTAATTATATACCTCAAAACCTTATTCTTTAATTTCAACTGAAAAACTTTTTAAAATTCACATTGGATGAGGTTTCCATATGAAATTAGTTATGCAACCATTAGTACATGTATTATCCATATTCCATGGCTTGCAAAGAGTATTGTTCCTATTTGTCCACCTTTCCTTAACTTAAAATTAGCTTTGCTTAAAAAAGGAGATTCAAAAGTTTACAAGTTCCAAGTTTTAAACAGTGACTGTTCCAAGCAAAAAGAAATTAGTTTTTTTCTACATGCATTTATTTTTCATGTCGAAGGTATTTTATGAATGTAAGATGATAATCACATTTTTGATTTCAGTGAAGGAAATATCTTTTTTTTCCCCCTCATATTAAATTTTTGAACTTTTGAAAATTGTTATAACCTGAAAATAAAATCCATGATTTTTAGAGTCATGAAAATTTTAATTTAAAAGTATATTTTCTGTGTAAATATAATCGTTTTAAATATCACAGTTCACACGGCATTCTGTATATTGACTAATAATTGAACTTGTTAAAATATCATTCTCAAAGTAAAATCAAAATAAAAACAGACTCAAAATAAAAACAGACTGAATATCAAATAAAAACAGACACACAAAACAAGCTGGAAATGGAGAAAACCTAAAGTAATCAAGTAAGCAAGCTTTTATGCTCAGAAGTGCAGGAAAAGCACTCTAAAACAAAGTACAATGATAAATAAACTAAAGCAAGGTTAATTAATAAAGCAGGTCAGATTAAAGCTATGAAAGCAAAGCCATTGTGCTAAAAGCAAAAATTAATTGCGGTAATAATAGTGGTAAATATGAGTGCAAAAAGCAATTAACAGAGTAAGTAACACTGATTAGATAAATGCAATAAGCAATTTAATATGTTTGTACTGTGATTCTTAAAATCTTGTGAGCTCACAAAGCCAATACATCTTTGAATTCTAGTAAGGTATTTGATTTCTTATAAAAATCTAAATCTTCACTAAACTGGTTTAATTCCTTGAAATTCTTTTTACTACCAGTCTAAGTCCTTGTACAGGTGTGACCAGTTAGAAAGCATTGGTCTCCCTTGGTACAGGGCTGGGAACTATTTCTCTTGGTCATAACTGGTTTAATTGCCTTCTCTTTTACTGAGCTCTCCAATACTTTCCCTAATAGCATTAGAGTAAATATGGTAACAGAGCTGAAATTTATGCCTTTCAATTTCAGTTAAAAGGTCTGTCTCTATTTCCACCTTTTCCTTTTCAAGGACATTTATGAAACCCCCCCCCCCCCCACCCTTGCCCCACTTTATAACCCACAAGATTCTAAAATTCACCAGTATGTTTAAAACAAAACATTGCATTTTTAGGGCCTCAACATCACGTCAAGATTAGCTGGACAGCACTAATTAGTTTGATAAATGTTACAATTTTCAAAGCTATTACAACACTTGCATTTCAGACGTAATTCTACACTGTTAAGAATCATCTGATGTTTCCCTAAAAAGATCCCTTTACATTGATCCTTTACATACTTTACTCACTAAATACTCTTTTCGCCATGAGTAATGATTGAAAACCTCCATTTAAAAATATATATATATATATATAAATTTTAATGTGAAGCCTGACCGAGACTCAAACCTAGGACCTTCGGAATACCATACTGCGGCTCTGCTGACTAAGCTATCTGGTCGCCTACAAACTACCTCCCTCCCCTAATTAGAGAACAATTCAATACCGTGACATAATCATTTTCGGAATAATTTTGGGATTCGAACATAACAACAACTTTGGGTCTCCTGAAGAGTTTTTCAACATCATTCTTACCCCATCTTACTACTATGTTTACCTTCGTTTTTAGCCCCTAATTGTTCTGGAATTTCATTCATTACACCCATTATCAGGAGATAATTTGCGTTATCTGTTACTTGTTTCATTGTGGGGAAATCTAAAAAATCGGTACGACAAGATTTTCAAAATAGAAACATGTCCTATCCCTTACTCTTCGACATAAGTTTCCGAATCAAGAAAATATACCCTTCACACATTAAGATTTGTCTTTACATCTTAGTTTTAATTGATGTTGTACTTCAAAATCCTACCGTCTGTTGAGGCCTAAAGTCTCAAAGTTTTTGATATACTATACAAACAATTGTTCATTAACAACATTCATACAAGATATATCTATATATCTATAGAGTAACACAAAGTAAAACTACACATAACAAAAACACCATATTCTGTATATATTTAGTACACATAATCCTTAATTAACATAGCCTACTTTCTTTTTAAATATGACTCTGATCTGTTCCCTCTATTTCTGAGTATATTGTATATCTAGTTTTATTAATATAACTTCTTTAAGATGATTAGATTTTCAACAACAAAAAATTTATGTTGAAAGCTTGTCAGAATGTCAGTTAAGAAATAAAAATATCATTTAAATAAGAACTTCTTCTTAACCAATTTATATTATTAAAATACAGCTTTTTATCTTTATTATGCTTATTAAAGTACAACTATTTTAGTAAAATCGTAAAAGTATTATATCTGTTCAAAACAGGAATATTGCTATATATTATAAGACGATCGAGCCTATAGTGACCAATTCTTCCTGAACTTACACATTAATTTTATCAATGTATAAAGACTGTACGAGCAAAAGTGTAAAAATCTATATTTTGCAATAGTGACCTTGACCCAGTGAGCCAAGAAGCTTATAAAAAAAAAGGCAAGTAATTTAGTAATGATAAAGAAATCTATAATTACTATGACTTAAAATTCTTATAATCTAATTTTGTACGAAAATATTAGAAAAATTTACACATATAAAGACTACAATGTATGAAAAAATTGTTAATTTAATATTTTCAGTACAAAAAGGTTAAACTAATGCCCCCAGTTAAATACAATAATTGAATATAATACTGTATGTATTATGGTGTGATGTGAGTAATTATTCAATTGGGTTTTTGTTTGTTTGTTTTTATACCTACCAATCACAAATGAAGAAAAGTTCAGGCAAACAGACTAGTCAACTCACCTTTTCCCAATGTCGTATATGACGCCGATGATACTAAACACAAGAAAAAAAATACAAGAACACTTAAACTTAACTTCGCTCAGCTTTAAAATTTCTTTATAGATTTTAATCGAAACAGGGTCGTAATAAAGTTATTCAAACTGAACAAATTAACAAAATTATGGGATGTTCTAGTTTGATTAGAACAATGTGAAGCTTATACATGTATGTAGATATATGTTGCTTTTTTCATGGAGGAAGATTTTAGGTACCTGGTAGCCGTCTGTGCCTCACAGCAGACTTGAGGGGCCATCAGAGTAAAACCACTGATCTTCTATAAGCTAGCTAGATATTATGCTCACGTAAAAATTTAAACCCTCAGGTGGGATTTGAACCTAATGCAAGCAGTAAATGGCAAAGTCAGTGACCTTAACCACAAGAGCCAACTCAGCCAAGTCCCTTTAACCTAAGGTCCATCACTATTCAAACTATAACCTAACAGGTCTATCACCATTTTAAATGTAGGATCAGAACCAACCCTTAAATCTTTTTTCTGGGGGAAAAACAACACAAAACAAAGCAGTGGTGCTATACACATAGAAATGAAAATGAGGTGGAATTTTCATAGTCCTTCTATACAATATAAATGCCCCCAAAAATAAAATGTATAAATGTGTTGCTTTTTTAATAAAAAAATTTAGTCTGTAATCTTGAAATATACGTAACTTATAATGGTCAATTGCCATAGTTTAAATGTAAAATTACAATAATTTTATAAGTATAAATGTCCATATTTAGGACACTTTGTGTTATGCATAACAGACAATTGAAATGTAATCGTTCAGACGTTTCAATGGTTAGGTTTCCGACCTTCTTTTTGAAATTGTCCAAAATAAAAATACTCAGTATGGTATAATTCTCAAGCTTGCCAACAGTTTTTAGCTTTAATCAATTGGCTGTTATAGATAAACACAAAGAAATGATTGTAACGTAAAAATGGAACGAAAACGTGTAAATGTTAAAACGCACAAAAAAAGTTTCAAAGGTAGAAATAAACTTACGCACTCACCGTTTCCCAGTGTTGTATATGATGCTTGTGATGATGCTATATATAGAATAAACAGAAAGCCACGGTTAGTAGAAGAAAGTTCTACTGAAGTATGAATGCCGAAGGACACGTTTTATCAAAATTAAATCACTTTCGCTGCCATTTCAATGACAGATACATTTATGTAGCATATTTTCAAATATGGAAAAAAATAGTCAAATAAATCAGAGGGAAAATAATCACCAGCTTGATGTAAAATAAACCCAAACAAGTTTAAATACTAGAAGCTTTTAATTATCATTTAAAATCTCTTCATTATAAAAAGAAGTTAGAAATAATTTTTGTATCTTTTAACTCGAAGTCTAAATATTAGACATCTTTGTGTATTACCTTTAACAGGCCTTACCATGCACTGATTTAATAAGGACCCATGCAGACTATGATCAGATGGCACAGGTGTGCCAGCTGGTCTTGGTCTGCACTGGTCCCATGGTTTAAGAGAACTTGTTGCTGCCAGCAGGCTATGGGTTCACTAAATGATTAAGTTTACACATTTCTTTACCAATGCAATGTAAGCAAAGCTAGCCTGTGATTTTCTAGATTTATGAACCTTTTCTTTTCCAATTAAAGATATTATGCTGAATATTAAAGTACAGGGAGAATACTTAAACCAAATTTGGTCAAAAAAATATATTTATTATTATTATTGTACATTGCAATAGCATTAGCCCTATGCAATACTTGATAAAACTGTATCCTTCAGCCTTCAGACCAAAACATGGACTGATTCTCTATCTTTAATAATTAACATGCTATTATTTCAACCATTAATCTACAGTAATTAGACCAGTCTATAAAGTCAGCAACAATTTGATTGGTTTAACTTGAAAATAAATGTATGATGAAAACGAGTACATGTATTAAATGATGAAAAGCTTCGGAAATAAAAGTATTGAGAAATGTTCCATATTTTGGTACTTAATGATGGCAGAATTTTTCTTGACTTTTTAAATTACTTATTATACTATAAAAAGTAAAATTTTGAAGCAGATACCATAAAAACAATATATTGTGTTTTTTTTTCTAAAATTACCACAACATAAAATAAAGTGATTTTCATTTAAAAGTAGATGAAAGTGCAAAAAATCTTTTCTTTTTCTAAATGGGAGTTGCTTGAATCAAAACTGATATACAATTATGCAATAAGTTAGAAGAAAAACAGAGAATAAGAAGAAAATTGATATGTCTCAAAATAAAAAAAAAAGAAATGAAGAATTGTTTAACATGACAGAGAAATGAGAAAAAATCAGTCTGTACAGTTGAGTATAAAGTATCAGTATACAATAACTTAATTTCTTTGAGTTTTGTCTTGACAGCAACTGCATGGTTTTCGCTTTACAAAAATTACTTTCAATATAAAATAATTAATTTACTGCCCTTAAACAACAAACCAGTATTAACTGGATGATAAACACTGCTGAGACCGTTATTGTTTCTTAAATACAGAATATCAAGAAAAATTCTACCAAACCTATCAAAACCTTACCAGAAATAAATTAATTATCAGCAAGTAGCAACAAAACTGTCTCTGATATAATAAAGAATAAATTTAAAAGAAGAAATAAGAGATATAAACATGTAAATTCAGTGTTAAGACACAACTGTCCTTTTTATGTTACAAAGAATTATAAACCAATCTTCCCTCGCAACAAAAAACAATCACCCCTACAAATATATTATTGAAATTTACGACAGAAAAGTAATTTAACAGTTATATATAACTGAGTAAATATCAGTGTGTCCTGTAAACACAGAAACTCAAAGGTCACCGACTTATCAGTCAAAAATTTTAATGGGTCAATTTGGATTTTATCATCAGTCAATTTTGTTATTAGCAGCTAAAACTTCTAAAACACAAGACATGTCCCACTTTTTGAGAGACTCTGAGTTCTTATTAATTCATGTATTCAACAAGTTACATGTACTTTCCTTTTCTACCTCTCCACGGATAAAAAACAGTTCCACAGTTAAGATACTATTTTCTAACATTTTAGAAGTCATCATTAACAATATAGATTAGATATTCATTCACAATTAAACCCTGTTACAAAATATCATACAATTCAATGAAGTGTAAACTTAATTAAAAACAAATCTACAGAGACATTAACTTGATGAAAGCCTATATTAATTAACAAATGTCATAAAAATTTCAAATGAATTTATTTTGCATTTATGAAAATAAATGAATTTGAAAAGAAGTTTAAATTAATTTATATTGTATTAACACAATCCATGTTTTGAGTCTAAGAATTACATTGTTTATTTTAAAGTTCATCAACTAATCAACTATTATATTAACTTAAACATTAATTCTGTTCATATAATAAGTATCATCACTTCACATAAACAATCGGTTTTTTAACAATTGGCATATTTTTTCTATATTTTGAATGAACAAGAAACCAAGATGGTTACTGAACAATACAAACACTTATAATAACTATATTAATACACAATGTCATATATAATTAAATTATCAACATATACACTAATTATGTATGCACAATATGCCATATTCTTCTAATTCTACAATTCTAGAATTGAGCAACTTAATTTTCTTTAAACATTGATAACTTGCAAAATATTTCATACTACCAACCTGTTTGCAAATAACAAACTACCGTTATTTAAATAAAAAATATCTTAAAGCATTGTCTTCTTTTAAAATATTCTTTCTTTTTTTAAATAATTGGCTAAAATCTAAAAAAGTGTAGTAGAAATTGTAGTTTGAATCACCATAATCCATGAAATTTAAAAAACTGCCGTTTTAGTTTTTCTTTGATTTAGCCAAGAGCCTTAAAGAATAACATTTTCATTAGTTTAAAATCACCATAAGCAATATACCAGATTTTTTCACCTTGTAAGCAATTTGCAATTACCCGGTAAACGCATGTTGAAAGCAATCTGTGTAATACTATAAAGGGAAGAAAATTACGTAAGCAAACTACATACATGTAACAGTAATATACATGTACATGCTTTGCAAATACAGGTTATAAGCTAAAATATCAACTGCATCATACAAAAGCTTTACACAGGAAATAACTGAACGTAATACACCAGTGCTCTGAAATTTCATTACAATTTTGTCAATATCAAAATGTAATATTTCTTCTGTGAAACTGAATAGTATAATGTTCAATTATACAATTCATAATATATGATAGTTATTAATGTTTCATACATGTGCGACAGCAAGTAATCTTGTCATCAGGTTTTTAACACAAGTTTACTAACATGTAAATCATGAACATTATCAACATAAGTATACTCCTTATTTGAACAAAAAAATATTTTAGTAATTATGGACATTTATTCATTGATTCACCATTAACTACAGTGTAATAACTTTGTCAGTGCTTAACAGAGTAACAAGGCTTATGTTATTTAAATTACACATAAAATTCTTTATCAGAGCATATTTATTTAATAAACAAATAAGAACTGTATAAAAATTAGTTAAACAGTTATGTCATTTAAAGTCAACAGGGAGTTAAAGTATGTTACTCTTCTAAAAGTGTCCAATATCATTCACTGCATTACTTATACAGTAACACTCACTGTAGATCTATGGTATAGAATGGCACAATATAACATTGTTAATTCTTGAATACACTACATGGTACCGTGGAAACTTAACCCTTAACCAGCTGAAATCAAAAGTAATTGGCTGTTCACCAGATTAAAGCCAGGCCAGCTTGCACATCCATGCAGACTCACCAGGCTCTATTCCGTTGGTACAGTAGCTCTTTGTGTTTTGATATTGCAATCTCTATAAACTTAAATTCACAGTTTCTAATTCAAATCTGGGCAAATCCATTACTCAAATTCAACAGGGTTATCGCAATAAATTAAATAAATTAAAAAATAAACAAATGTAAGGAAATATACAATTGCCCTGCATTTACTCAAAATAATATCGTTCTCATGTCTTACTGTCACGTGTAATTTCTCATGATTGTCATATCAAGAATCATTATATCTTTCTTTTCTGCGAGTGCAAAGACAGTCGTAGATATATGTTGCCTTTCAAGGCCGATACCGACGCTTAGATAGACGGTTGATGCAACACATCACAAGAAGTGGCAATGCTTGATATGACCTGTGAAAACGCGACCCATGAAGAAGTCATAGAATTTAAATATTGATCTATATAGTGTTCCGATTTATTTTACGGTTTATAAAATTTCTACAGTTGCAGTGTTAAATTCGTATACATGTGTCATATCAAGTGTTGCGACTTACTGCACATCCACTATCATAAAGAGTTTGTAAAAAAAATATATCTAAAAAATCTATCTTAATTCTATCACATTATCCACACCTGTGCTTGATCCGAGGCATTTGGAACATTTTTTGACTTGAGAAGTGCACTCAAGTCACTGATGTCAATTCTCCCATCTTTGTTTCTGTCAATTGTGTTAAACAATTCAGCAAACCTCTGCTGATCTTCCTTGGATATGTTAGGTCCTTTGGACATAGTTATTGAGATATTTAATGAAAAATATTAACTAAATTGTCATTTTGTCACTTTCCTCACCAGTTTCTGCCAGAATAGTACATCGATTTTGATTGGTCAACTTTGACGGTGTTACTGTAGAATTCTCCTTCGATTAAATATCACAGCGTTCTACTTACACGAACACCGTGGCACATGTGCATTTCTCCTGCATTGAGAAATTACAGTCTTCTTGATAGATTTAAACATATATGCAACATTAAGGTGATTTTTGACGGTCATATATTTAATTTCTCTTACCGAGTGATATTTCATGCCTTTATGATTTTTCCATCATACTGATTATACTATTTAGCTTTATGTATTGTTTCCGGATGGGTCATATTCGGATAGACATGGTCAGGTGGTGGTGGTGGTTTTGGTAGTTTTCACACCGGAACACGGCAGTAAGCCACATTGAATTAACCAGAACACAGTTAAGCTACCGCACGGTTCATTGGCAAGCAGTTAACCAGTACTAGTTGCCTTCACTTCCGCAAAAGGAATTTTAAAATAACTAGGCATAAATGTCTACCACATCAAGACGACATGTTGAGTCCAAGACTTATGTCCCTACCTTCAAGGTCAAGGTCACACTTATAGTTTGAAGGTACTCATTCTCTAGAGAAGAGTTTGAAGATACACATTCAACATTCATGTTCCGGACTGTAACTTTGTCATGCATGGAAGGATTAAAAATAACTTGAAACAAATGCTACCACATCAAGACGATGTGTCGCGGCTAAGGTTAATGTTCGTCCGTGCATCCCCACTTGTCCAGACTGTGTCATGCATTGAGGCATTTTGAAATAACCACAGGAACTTGAAATTCTATCAAATAACCAATAATATGAAATTAGGCAAAGCCTATGTACGGGGAAGTCGTTAAAAAATCCTTTCATTCTTTCCGTTTTAAAGGGGTCATTCGATATTACATACACCGCTTCCGTTTTCACTCGGAACACTCGACGATTATTACTAATCCGAAAAGTTGAGATTTGTTCCGTTATCGGAATACCCCGCCTATTATCATTGACATACATTGTAAATGGCGGCGCCCGACTAGAACTGACACTGAAAATTTTATTGATAGGTATAGAATTCTATATATTTTTTAAATGTTTTTTATTTGATTTTCTTTTAAATATTCACGTGTAGTCTATAGCCGGGCTTCGCGGGGCCGGTCTTTGACTTCCTCGTATTAATGATAATATCCAAATATACCCCTACATTGTATATACTATAAATAAACACAAGGAATGAAACGCCTTTTCCCCACCCCAACATAATTTACGCCGTACAAATCAACAAAACAACGGATCAAAATATTCTATCTGGCCATTTCGATAAACAATACATAAAAGCATCAAATACCACCGATAACTTTTTTTAATTGCGTAGCTTTGTAGGAATAATTCAACATTTTCTGATTATTTCCCGCGATCTGAGTTTGTCGCCGACTCCATTTCGTGATGTCACTGGATGTTGATTCGAGGAGAATAATATTTAGTAAAATTATTTTCAACAAGTTCCAAAAATAACAAGTTTGCAAGTAAAAGACTGTCAAACTAGAACAAATGACTGTTTTCTGTCTTACGACATGGCTGAATTTATTTGCTGGGCCATATCAAATAGAGTACTCAAATTTTGTTTTAAAACGAAAGTACTATTTCAAAGATTTACCATTCTTGTTTGGGGTTTCCCTTTCAAATGTATTTATAAAAGTAATTTGTTAAAATGGTTTTACATGAAGATGTTTAAATCTATTTACATAGAATAATTTGTATAAAAGTTTTAAATATACCTGTTATTTTTTGGAACTTATTAAAAATAATTTTAATAAATATTATTCTCCTCGAATCAACATCCAGTGACGTCACGGAATGGAGTCGGCGACAAACTCAGATCGCGGGAAATAATCACAGACTTCCCGAAATACGTCGGTCCGACGGACATGTCCGATAAATTTTGATCAGGTCCGACAATTTTTTATTCCGGATCGGTCCGACTGTCCGGCTTTTATCCAAGCCGCATGTATACAAAATGGCGTCGCTAAAGGTGCCAAACCTTGGAAAAACCGAAAATCTATGTCAGAAGAGTGCGCAGAACAGCAATAAAAGGATGAAAATAGTAGACCTGGGACAAAATTTAATGAAAAATGGAAGCAGAACCATGAATCATTGGTGTATGACAGGGAGGAGGCAAAAATGCGCTGTACGGATTGTGCCGATTTTTACGGCGAAAAAATAAAAAACAAAAAGTGTCTTAGAAATACAAACACAAGTTTTTCTTTGATTTTGATCAATTTTATTTGGTCCGACAGATTTTCTTTCGGTCCGACAGATTGTCATGGTTTGTCAGACCGAATGTCTGACAGTTTTTTTCAACTTTCGGGAAGTCTGAATCAGAAAATGTTGAATTATTCCTACACAGCTACACGATTTTAAAAAGTTATCAGTGGTATTTGATGCATTTATGTATTGTTTATCGAAATGGCCAGATAGAATATTTTGATCCGTTGTTTTGTTGATTTGTTCGGCGTAAATTATGTTGGGGTGGGGAAAAGGCGTTTCATTCCTTGTGTTTATTTATAGTATATAGGGGTATATTTGGATATTATCATTAATATTGGTTATTTGATAGAATTTCAAGTTCCTGTGAAATAACTTTGCACAAATGTCTATCACATGACAATATTGTGTGTTCAAAGGTCAAGGTCATACTTATATTTTGAAGGCTCGCGCTATCACAATAAAGATCGTAGGTACACACATTTGTGTCTGGACTATAACTTTGTCATGCATTGACGAGTTTTAAAATAACTTGGCACAAATGTGTACCACATCAAAATGACGTGTTGTGTAAGACCCATTTCCTACTTTCAAGGTCAAGGTCACTAATAGTTTGAAGGTACTTTTGCTCATAAGAAGAGTTTGAAGGTACACATTAGTTTTCAAACTAACATTGTCATGAATTGAAGGATTTCATAATAACTTGGCTTAAATGTCTACCACATCCAAGATGATGTCACAACCAAGTCCCAATGTGTTAAGTTTGCCATAAATAGCACTTCATTTCACAAGGACAATATTAACCAATTTGTTGCTTTCATTCTCTTTTCTTTTCATAATACCTGCATGCTTAAGAAACCTTTTGGGGGCATTCCTCACTTGCCTGACAGCTCTTGTTTAAAACATGTTTAGAAATGAAACTGCCTGCTATCTTTTAAAGGAAAAACACTAGTAAAGCAGTTGATAATGTTTGGAAACATTCTTGAACATAAAAGGGAATAGAGCCGCAATCTGATCACAATTACACAGTGACCAGGGCTCATCCGGAAGGGCGATTCAGGCGAAAACTTCGCCGTGTATATTTCAATTTCGCTCTTCCGATTGATCAAAGAGAAGTCAACATCGCCGATAAAATCTTAATTCCCAAATAGTAATTACTTAGCGATGTAAAGAGCAGAGATTGTATCCGCCCATATGACGACCGCTAATTATCATTATCCAATCAGAGCGTCGCTTTATACTACCCTTCTACCTGTAAGCGAAGCGATAGACCGCCTACTCTAATTTAAAGTCTAAACAGTAAATAATGAGAGCATCGGCCCGAAACGGTATAATTGTGTGATAGTTTTGCGAGTTTAATACGGGATTTGGCAATAATTATACATTGTTTTTTCCCCGATTATCTAAACACGTGCAATCTTCCCTTATTGATATACACGTTGCACTTCGATGATGGGTTTTTAACCCGAGTAAAAGCGATGTGCAATGGATTTTTCACGGCTATCACAAAACTGTTAGTCAATTAAAAATAATCAGTTTCATTAATGATCAGCGACCGGATTAAAAACTTAATCATAGTTTTAAATGATTTCAGTCTGTTAACGTCAATTTTTACACGCTAACGTCATGGCTACAAGGCGAAATGCCGAAACACCTACGCGAAAATTTAAGAAAGCCGATTCGCAAAAATCTTGCAATAGGTATGTTGTAGATAGATTGTTCTCTTTGTAGAAATGCCAAATTTGACACAGTTTACGCACGTGGGCAAGACATCCCGCTAAACTACATATCGGCTTAACTACATATCGTCTAAACTACATATGGGTCGTACATGTATATCATGTAACGTATATAACAACAAAATTTGTCAGGAAAGAAGTGTTCTTATTGTTTCAATATATATATTTGTTTTTATGTCGTAAATATGACGCTCAGATTAAGATTTATCAATATTGTTAATTTTAAAAGCATTATTTATAAAGATATTACCGAATTTAACATTTCATGAAAATAAAGGGAGGTAATTAGAAATTAATTTTCTACAATTTCTCAGTCAAATTTTTCAATAAGAAATGAATGTATGTAATTTTAGTGATCAAATATAATGTGCACAAATGTTTGCAGTACATATTTTACATATTCTTTGATGTTTGAAAATTGTTTTATAAGCATAATTATATGCATATAAATGTGACATTACAACATTCTGTTCTTTGAAGGAAATTTCTGTTACCAGAACAGAATAGAACAGATATTATTAATCAATATCCAATGTGACTTCATCTTCTATTAAAAGTGAGGAAAGTAAAACATATGAAATTTATTTTATCATCATATCTTTTCTTACACATTATTATCAACAAATGTACATGAAAATATATAAACACATATTTAGAGAAAGCTTATTAATAGCTGATGAATAGATATCAAAAATAAATTTTTATATTCATATTTGCAGCTCAAAAACATTTAGATGCCATTGCCAGATCTACTACTAATTAATCTACTTTTAATTAATACTACTATTAATTAATCTACTGTTAATTAATAAACTGGAGAAATATTATAAGTGATGTTAATTGTGTTTATATTATAATTAAAGGATGTATAGCCATGCATGTTAATGCATACACATTGGGTTGTTTCCCTTCTCCCTAATTTTCGCGAGGAAGTCACTTCTCCCTAAAATTTCCCCCCAGGATGAGCCCTGGTGACACTCTACTTTTTTTAGTCTGCCCAAGCTTAAAATAAGATAAATGCATTATGAATGACAAGAGTAATTTTCTTGGCTTAGAAAAGATTCAAACCAGTGAACTATTTTGAAGAATGTGAATGTGAAAAATACGCTCTTAACATATGATGTTTTATGTCTTTTTTTTTTGAGTGTGTACCACCAAAATTTAGTGTATTATAATTTAATTTTCTTCAGGTATACAGATTCTAAACCTAACAATCTTGAAAAGCACGACATCAGAATACAGATAATGGTGGATAGTGAAGAGTCTGGTGGTGCGTCTCCGGGACACCTTGTTGACATCAAAGAAGACAATGAATACTTCCTAAAGATGTGGAACCTGATTCCCCCACTTGTTTATGCAGAACTGGAACCAGACCTAGATGATAATGGTAAATGATGAAAGTTAAAAAAATCAGAACTTTTTTTTTAGGCAATTCATATGGGCAATAATGTGAAATATTAGAGGTAAATTAATACTCAGTTTTAAATTACTCAGATTTTCTACTTTCAGGCAATTTTAGGTTGTTTTTATTATCAATAATTATGACATAGCAAGAGACTGGGTTTGATTTTCTTTGTATACAAATTTGTAAGCTAAGCAATTTGTTTTCATTATGAATGATCTGTTATGTTTTGCTGTTGAACAATTTCATTTGTTTGATAACCTTTCAATCTAAATAAGCATATTATAAATATTTAATCATTAACATGTTAAATAAGTGTACTGGCATGCGAGCAGTTCCCGTACAAAAATCGTAGTGACTTAAACATTATTTTTTTGTTACGCTCACTCACCACAATTTGAATGTTACACATCAATATTCAGCTCGTCACACAAATCATGGAAATTCCATCATGTTCTAAACATAGTATAACCCTTAGTTATGAGGCCTCATATGGGGTACCGAAATTATCCATTATTTTGTATGAAGAGAAGTAGTTCCCGTACATAAAATCTAACCCATTATAATTATACAATTTTATTATATCGGACCTATTTTTCATTTACAATTGTTGAACAGACCATTATCTAAGAGATAAATAGATGTAATTCAGGAAATAGAGCGTAGACTAAACGCGGGTATCAATTACCCGGTACCGTTACCCCAACGCATTCACATGCAATAGCATGCTTGTATGCATTATATTTTACGCATCAAAGCCATAAAATTATAATATATAGTAATATTGGTCAACATTCTGATAATTAAACAAGTTTACATTACATTGCCTACTTATTTGTAAACAGGTGGTATTAGTGGAAAACCCTTTAACAAGCCTCATGTGTAAGTATTTTTGCGCATGCGCACAAGGACGAAATCCCCCAGAGAAAACAAGGTCACGTTTTGACGACGCACAGGTGAAAGTGATTTAAAATGAGACTTTATATACGTACTGCCGAACTGACACTTAGATTTTGTCTCGTTTATGTATCTGCTTGATTTGAAATGAATTTTTGAAGAATGCAAGTAAAAATCAAGCGTTTAAATGAAAAATACGGGTACTGCTTCTGTACGGGAACTGCTCGCATGCCAGTAATGGATTTGCCTTGCTTTGAATTTAAAAAGTCCAATTTAAAGGGATTTCAATAACAAAATACAAAAATTTATTTACCAGTACTTAGTATAGAGGGTGATCGAACTGGTTGGCCAGCCTGGCTCTTCATTGCTGGCAAATGCTAACTATTCTTGATTCTGGAAGAGGCTGTACTGTGTGTATATATTCAATTATTCTAACATTTGATTGACATATTTGCTTATCATCATTATCTTTTTCACATATTTTTCTTGTTTCCATAAAACAAAAGTAGTGAGTTCAGTTAAATTTTTGCTATTTATATCTATCTCTCTTTATTTATATTTTTTAATCTTTAGAGAAAGCATTGACAGAAGCTAAGCTCAAGAAAAAGATGAAAAAGCAGGAAAAGAGGGAGGAACGAAAAAAGAGAAAAGAAAAAGAGACGAAAAAGGAAGATGTACAAAAGTTGACCAAGAAGCATAAACATGTGGAAGATGAGGAAGATTCAGACTGTAAGTATAAATTCTTGCTTGATTCTTCGCATATAATCGGTCTAGACCAGAGTCAACCAGTACAATGCCTTGTATAACCCTTATCTGGCTTGCACCAGTCGAATTGGCCCATCTGACTAATGTAGACCAAGATTGTTATTCAGTCAGGAATTATTTTAAAATCATCCCTAAAGATGGCCAGATTGAAAGATAAAAGTTTATTTCAAGGAACTGAACTTTTGTCCAAATTCCTGAAAAAAGAATGAATTTCATATACAGATCAGCTTGGGCTTTTAAAGCAGAAAGATAAACTTAAGAAAAGATAATTAAGAAAGATTTTCAGAAATTAATTGAAAATTACATTTTTCACAATAAGAAAAAATGGAGTGAGCAAATGATCTGAAACACTATAGGTCTAGACATGCATCAAATGAACATTAATATCGAAAAAAGATTTCTAGGCCCGTCTTGTAAAAATACTCTCTTGAGTCCTTTTAACATTTTAAGCTTGGTAAGGCTTAAAGTTGTTTTAGGGATAAAATCAGGTCAGAGAAATAAGAGATTCTAATGGGCCATTTTTTTCTCACTTTGATAAAAAGGCAGCCAATATTTAATATTTAGGTATGGCATGCAATGTTATGATTGTGTACAGGTATATTGCAATTTTTCAACTTTACACAATCATGTTTGGGGGCGTCCGTGGCCGAATGGTTAAGGTCGTTGACTTCAAACCACTTGCCCCTCACCGCTGTGGGTTCGAATCCCGACAGGAACTTTGGATTCTTGCATGTGAGGAAGCTATCCAGCTAGCTTACGGAACGTCGGTGGTTCTACTCCGGTGCCCGTTCGTCGCGATATGACCTATACTGTGTCGATGTGACGTAAAACCCAATCAAACAAACAAACAAACAAACACAATCATGTCATAAACACTTTGGCATAAAAGTCCTGATAGTTATATACCATATACATGTATCATTTACAAGGGTTTCTTGGGCAAAACTCTGTTTATGGACTTGGTGAACTTCCACAGTCAGGGTAATTATCATCAACTGGACATAGTCAGGATTTTATAACCCTTTGTTATTTTGAAAACTTTGTTTATTGATGTTTTCATGTCACTTGCTATAAATTGACAATCTGTTTTCTTCTCATTTTTAGTTACAAATATAAAACCTAAAAAGCAGAAAGTAAATCACAAAGTGGAACCTGTATCTGTAAATAACGTAGATCACTCGTCCGACTCAGAGATGTCATCGGATGCCGATCAACTCTCCCCGAAGCCTAATAACGTGTCTAAACCAGTGCAAAACATTCCTGTAAAACATGTAAAGAAGAAAGAGAAACCTCATGCTAAAAAAGCTGCTGTGAAAAAAGATAGTGACAAAAGTTCGGTTGAAAAAAGTACTGTAAACAATACAGATGCTGGACAATCTGTTTCTAAAGGTGCTATAACAACAGTGTCTGAAGGTGACATGCTACAAGCTGCTAGTATAAACAGCATCGAAGATAAACGGGAAAAACTTCGGGCAAAAATTGAAGAATTACAAGGTACAGCCTTTCTTTTTGTAAATAGTTACTAACCAGAACACAGCAAATATGGGTTTTTTCCCAGAACAAACAAACCTTTACTGTTACAGCTTCACAGTGCACTGACGATAAGTCAACCTGTTGTTCTTATTTTCGAAGCTGCAACTGTAAAAGTTTGTACCCCCGGATTAGCTTTGAAAAAATGTTTTTAATTCCAGAATAAGTGTATTATGAACGAATTTAAAAACAATAATGTAAATATAGCAAGGTTTTAATTTTGATTTGATATAAAGTGTATCAATATATAAGTGGCAGAATGGCCGAGTGGTGAACAGGACCATGTGGGTTCAAACTCTGTCTAGTTTACATGATAAAGAAACTAGACTCTTTGCTTAGTAATGGTTGGTTCCAGAAACAGATTTGAGAGAGCTTGAATAAGCTAATAGCTTCTAACACAATCAATCTATAAAACAAACTCGAATAAACTAATGCATTCTAGTGCCAGTTTAGCCAAACTTTAGGTCCTGCAGCTGAGTAGTTGAAATATTATTTATTGAAACTTCTTATCAATGTGACTTTAAAACCCAACAAGCAAGTAGTTGACTTTACTCCTTTTGCATCAAGAACATAATAAGTTGATTAGGGTTGTCTGTGGTTCTAAATAGGTGCCACCCTTGCCTGAATTAATATATGGGGCATATTGTTCACATTATAGAGGGCAATAAATACTACAAAAGGAGTTGGAGCTTTGTGCCAAATTTAATAAATGTGAAGTTTAGATTGAAGATGAATTTAAGTGCTTGAGATGTAGAATATGATGATGAGATATAGTAAGTGGTGAAAGCTTTATGGAAGTGAGAAAATGTAAACTTATGTACTTCTGCCTAGCTTTGAAAAACAATTTTTGGTCTGTTTTCCTATTTGGAAAATATTTGATGGTAGAAAATGAATATTTAAATCTATAAAAATGTTGTTTAATATGTTGTAATTTATGGTAACTATCAGATTATGTCTGATTGGTAATTTATGGTAACTGTTAACAAATTGACTTCAACCACTTGCCCCTCACTGCTGTGGGTTGGAATCCCGACAGGGACTTTTTGGATTCTTTCATGTGAGGAAGCTATCCAGCTAGCTTATGGAACATCCGTGGTTCTACTCAGGTGCCCGTTCTTGCCTGAAATAATGCACGGAAGGGCACCTGAGGTTTTCCTCCACTAGTAAAGCTGGAACGTCGCCAAATGACCTATACTTTGTCGGTGTGGCGTCATACCCAAACTAAAAAAATAGCCAATTTCAGATCACAGTCAAAATATTTATTGAGATAAAACACATAGAAGTAATTCAATAACAATGCGATTTTTTTTGTATTTTCAGCCAAAAGGAAACCTAGTAACAAAGAAAGATTAGAGAAAAAGAAACTGAAAAGACAGGAAAGTAAAATGAAGTTGAAACAGAAACGGAAATTAGAAAAAATGCAAAACAAGCAAAACAGTCAAGGTGGTGCAGGCTCAAAGCCTGTAAAAGGAAATTTAAATAAAGGACCTACTACACCAGCAAAGCCGGTGTACAATAAAGAAGGCCAGATGGTGTTTAGTAAGTTTGATTTTACCGATTCCGCCAAAAAGGAAAAACGTCAGTCCGACCTACGCGGGAAGGACTACAAACGGTTATTAGAAAAGATCGAAAAGCGGAACGAGAAAATTAACAAGGTGAAAAGTAGGGACGAGGATGCAGGGAAAGCTTTGGAGGATAAATTTAAGTGGGAATCTGTTTTACATAAAGCAGAAGGGGAGAAGGTGAAAGATAATCCAGAGTTGTTGAAAAAGGCGCTGAAGCAGAAACAGAAAATGAAAGAACAGAAGAAAAAGAAATGGGAGAATAGAGTTGAGAATGTAGACAAACAGAAACAAGAGAAACAAAAGAAACGGACAGAGAATATTCAGAAACGTAAACAGAATATGAAAGATAAGAAATTGAAACAGTTGAAAAAGAAAGGAAGAATTCTACCAGGGTTTTAGGTACAAAAAAAATCATAGAAAAATTATCATATGTTGTACACAAAAAAGAAGAAAAAAGAAGGTTTTAAATTTAATTCTTGTACAGTGACATTACATAGTGTTACTAAGTTTATTTTGGTATTTAAGAAGCAAACTGGATCCACTCGGCCATAGGCTCAGAAATCCTTTTAATTTGAAAATACTTGGAATTTGCCTCGATACTTGGAATTTGCCTTAATACGATAAAAAGTAAGGAACTAATTTGTATTGATAAGAAAGGTAACTTTAATAACCAAAATGGTGCATGGTGTCTTAATATATACTGAATACAACAGGTTGAGAGAAGAAGGAAAATAAAATAGGTCCGTTTCAGGTCTCTCCTACCCTTCTTTTAACTGCCAACCAACCATACACATTGTTTTATTACCAGCCTGCATTTTCAAAATTATTTTCATACTATACATGTATATGAAATTGTATTAAAAAAAAGTTTCATGGGGTACCCTAAATTCATCTGTCCTAGAGTCATTGGAATTTCTTATGCCATAAAGTCTCATCATATTCTCCTTAAGAAAGAAAACAATTGCATAAATTTTAAAACATCGAAGTAAATTTATTGTATATGCCAAATCACAGGGAAATCTGTCATTATTTTATTAAATCTATATATATAATATAAACAAGGGATACATGTTGTGGCCTCGCACTAGTAGCCACTACCAACACAGGTTCGTAAAATGCATTCACACGTGTAAACTGTATAAAATATCCTTTATTCCATCAAAGTTATTGTAGAAGTTAATATATGAACGAGTCATTACCCAAGTTTTAGTACAAACTCTTCATTAAAACCTGTAACTTTGCAGGAAATAGCTAACATTTCAATATTTACATTGGCTGTCAAGTTGTCGTCCATTTTGCAGGTGTGTTTATGTTCTGAGTATTTCCATTGGCTGATGGAAAAAAAATGCTATTTGTCGCGGCTATACGCCGTTATTATCCGGATTATTATTATCATTAGCCAATGAAATTGACAGTTACTAACAGAAGTTGGATTTACGCATGGAACATACGGGCAACATCAAAATGGAAGCCAAGAATAGAAATCATCAAAACAAACAATAATTGTTACAATAATTTGTACCAGAAGTTAATGATTGCATCATTGATGGTGGTAAATGATTGATTTTTAACCGATTACATGATTAAACTTTCTTATATGAGCAAACGTTTGCATAAGATTTGTTCCAAAATTTTACGAACGTGTGTAAAAATGAAACTTGAAAGGTTATTTTTAATAATATCTTGTCCATGTAACAAAGTGAGTCATTTTTTTTTTTTGAAATTATCGATCCTTTCATCAATGTCCAACAATCAAAAGAAAAAACTGTTGTATACTGCGTTCTATTTACTTTTTCATGAATTGAGCAATTTTGAGTTGTATCCCATGTTATATTTATATGTAGTGGGAAAGGGAAAAAAATGAGAGAATCCCCTGTGGGCCAAATTTCTTCAACACTTTAATACTTGGATATTAGAAAATAGTGTATCAAACGGGCACTGTGTTAATAGTAAGGTAACAAATTCTAGCCACCCATGGATACTTTAAACGGTGGGTTCCTACCTACTTTTCCTCTTTAAAGGTCGGTGGGGACCAGAAATGGATTTTTTTCTTCTTTTGCTCAAGTATGTGTATCAGATAGCTGAATATGTATTCTCATGTACATGAATGTTACCTGTTTGAATATTATTTTTTTCAATTTATGCAAAGCATAACACTAGAATCTGTTATATTGTTCAGGTAAAAAATTTATTCATATAGCATTACAGTTGTATTGACAGGCACTAGAAAGTAAAAACATTTCATATTTGGTGATATTGATATTGTTCAACGAAAGTTTGTTGGTGTACATGAAAATTAAAACTTATAAATTATACAAGAGCGATCAGTAATCACATGTGTCGCCTCATAATGGCCAATTTCATGTTGGGACAAATTTTGTGACAGACGGACAGACAGACGGACAGTGCACACATAGACTTGGTACTGATCAATCATGTAAAGTTTGGATAAAATTGCACCAGTAGCTTATGAGGAGTAGTCCGGACAAGCTTTTGCGTATCTGGCAGCACACAGAAAAAAACACCTTTTTATCAAAGGGCCATAACTCAGCCAAAAATCATTCAACCGGAAAACCCGTGCAATATGCGCAAGGACTTGAGCTACAGATCAATCCTGTAAAGTTTCATTGAAATTGTATAAGTGGTATAAGAGAACTTGTCCGGACAAACTTTAAAAATAAAAATTATTAAAGGGCCATAACTCTGACAAAAATCATTGAACCGGAAAATGCTGACAATATGCACAACTACACTTGATACTGATCATTCCTGTAAAGTTTGGATAAAATTGCACAAGTAGTTTATGAGGAGTAGTCCGGACAAGCTTTTGTGTATCTGGCAACACAGAGAAAAAAACACCTTTTTTATCAAAGGGCCATAACTCGGCCAAAAATCATTCAACCGCAAAACCCTTGCAATATGCGCAAGGACTTGAGCTACAGATCAATCCTGTAAAGTTTCATTGAAATTGCATAAGTGGTATAAGAGAAGTAGTCCGGACAAACTTTAAAATTAAAAATTATTAAAGGGCCATAACTCTGACAAAAATCATTGAACCGGAAAATGCTGACAATATGCACAACTAGACTTGATACTGATCATTCCTGTAAAGTTTGGATGAAATTGCACCAGTAGTTTATGAGAGGTAGTCCGGACAAGTTTTGTGACGGACGGACGGACAGACAGACAGACGACGGAGAAGTGATCCCTATATGTCGCCACTACTCCGTAGAGGCGACACAAAAAGTAACATTATTTGTTCTTTCTTTAGTTTTATTATATGCCCAAAAGATTTCAGGATTCATTGTTATGCCCTGGTCGTATGTTCGTCCATCTGTTAGCAATTCCATGTGCATGGATTGATTGAAGGAAATTGAGACTACTTGGCAGGAATGTGCCCCTTGTAGACAAGGTCAATGTCACTCTTAGTTAATATGAATGAATGTCAAAATTGTGTGTCTGCTCTTGATTGATTATCATTGTTGCATTGACTGAAGGAAAGTAAAACTATTTAGCAGAAATATTGATGGTAATGAGAGGAAAAGCCAAATGCAGGTCAGGGGTCAATTTACATATAAAACACATTTAAGTCTTATTGTGTTAAACAAAAATGTTTTAAACTTTGATAATTACAATGAAGCATTGCATTGTAGATTTCCATTGTACCTTATTAAAATCATATTAAAACTACATGAATTGAGTCAATATCAAAACTACATAGATTGAGTCAATATCAAAACTACATAGATTGAGTCAATATCAAAACTACATAGATTGAGTCAATATCAAAACTACATAGATTGAGTCAATATTGAATCTACATAGATTGAGTCAATATTGAATCTACATAGATTGAATCTACATACATTGATATAGTTAACAAGAATTAAAAGTCTCTTAGAGAAAACCTACAGTATTCAGAGCATAGATTTTTGGCATGTAGCATCACCTTGTTGTCCTTGATAAAAATAGATCCATCACTTGTATAGGTCATGTGTCTCTGTGGGTTATGATACAAAGGGAAGTAATAAATGATGTAAAGGGAGGTAATGAAAATTATTTGTATGCAGAGCTTAAGGCTTGGCTTAATCTTTGTATGAATGATTACACGTCATATGACTCCAGATATAATGTCAATCAACCAAATGATGTCAGGAAAGTTATGCATGATGGAATAATACTGAACCATTTAAGGATGCTTTAATTATTCAGCACTAGGCCTTCGTAATTATATTCCAATGCATTTAAACTCGAAGCGTGCATTATTCAACAATGCACTCGAAATTGATATCTTTTTCCTAAACAGCTAAAATAAAATATCAAAATAAAAAGTACAAAAGTCAATGAATCATTTTTTATGATAATTTATTTTTTAATCAATAATATTTCTATAGAATTAAAGGTACAAAAAAAATTAGGAAAAAACAGTTTGAACATAGAAATAGGCCTACAAATAATATGTAAGTATACAATTTACACAAACATAATGAAAAATGTGAGGTCGGTACTTGCATGTAAGTGGATACATGTTCATTATATTACAGCTGCATGCCTCTAGATAAACCAAAATATTTCTAGAAAATCAAACTAGAGAAAAGAGAACTGAGATGTTATGAAAAGTAAAATGATTCAAGATAAAAGTAATAATTTCCATGTTACAAGTATGGGTGATTTATGACCGATTTTGCTGTATTTTTTACCACATTTCTACTGCGTTACTTACGCAGTAAGGGCTATTTTAACATATTTTGACCTCTTTTTGGTAATTTATATGGCTAGTAAGTGCTATTTACAATATGAAAATTATTTTCTTTGTTCACTTTATAATATTTTACTTTTTAATACATTTTAAAAATTTTCATGAATCTGGAGGCATGCTGCTTTAAAGTGACATTCTGTCCATCCTAGTGAAAATTGCAAGTATGAAGGTAAAACCATATAAATCAAAATAACTGTACATTTTGCCATAATTGTTTCCATTCTATATTTTTATGAGCAAAAATGATAAATATCACACATAACCCATGCAAATTTCTAAAAATAGCCTTCATAATTTATCAATAACGCACATAACCCAAGGAAATTTCTAAAAATAGCCTTCATAATTTATCTGCAATGTCTAATTGAGTGGCGCAGTCATTTTATTATTTAGGTAGTCTTTTTATATTTTATCATAAACATTTGTCGTTATCAATTATTGGACAATCACCATTATAATAGTCAATCTTTTGAAATATAAATTTAATTAAGTTTAACTTGACAACGAAAAAATGAGCATAATGTCATTTTTTTTCTCAACCTTTATTTTGAACAGATCACACATTATTTTACAAGACCATTGATCTAGATAGATGTAATAATTCCGCAATTTTCTGAAGCACTTTTTTTGTAAAAAAATATTGGTATGAATCGAGTGATTTTTAATAAAGACCTCGAAACATGATGATGTACATGTAATTAATATCATGTACATTGAGCTGAGATATTTATGTTTAATGTTCTGAAGAACTTGGTCTTCTTTTATTTCGATCAGATTTTTTTTGGTTGAGTTTTACATTGCACCAATACTTTGTCATATGGTCACATTCCAGCTTTACTTGTGGTGGAGGATGACTTCAGGTGCCCTTCTGTGCATTATTTTAGACATGAACAAGCACCTGAGTAGAACCACTTGCATTCCACAAACTAGCTAGATATCTTCCTCACATGAAAGAATTCAAAATCCCAGTTGAATTGCAGTCCACAGCGGTAAATGACAAGTGGTCTGAAGTGAACGACCATTACCACTTGACCACAGACGCCCCTAACTGATTTTTATCATAAAAAAAGAAATTTGATCAACCACAAGACAAGAAAGTAACAAACTTACTCTGGTTCATGAACTTTTACAAAAAGAAGTGTTTTATCTTGCATTAATAACTTTGTGATTAATTTTATTAGAAATTGTGTTAAAAGTAAAAAAAAATGAAAATATGAAACAAGAGGGCCATGATGGCCCTGAGGTCGCTCACCTGTATATAGCCCCCCCCCCCCGGCCCAATTTTTACCCAAGGGCTTTTATTTGTTTATTTGAACAGACTTGGTAGACACCCATAAGAAGATGTTTCATGCAAAACATCTAAGTTCTAGCTCATTGGGTTTTTTAAAAGAAGATTTTTTAAGTTTTTACTATACACATAGAGTAAAAAACAATGACACCCCTCGGGCAGGGCCAGTTTTGACCCCTGGGCTTTTATTTGAACAACCTTTGTAGATATTTACTTAAAGATGTTTCATGCTTAATATCTAAACTCTAGTTATTTGGGTTTTTTCAAAGAAGATTTTTAAGTTTTTGCTATGTATATAAGGAAAATCAATGACCCCCGGGGCGGGGCCAGTTTTGACCCCAGGGCTTTTATTTGAACATACTTGGTAGACACCCATTAGAACATGTCTCATGCTAAATATCTTAGCTCTAGCTCTTTGGGTTCTTTAAAAGAAGATTTTATAAGTTTTTACTATATGCATATAAGGAAAATCAATGACCCCTGGGGCGGGGCCAATTTTGACCCCAGGGCTTTTATTTGAACAAACTTGGTAGACATTTACTAGAAGATGTTTTATGCCAAATATCTAAGCTCTAGCTCTTACGGTTCTTTAAAAGAAGATTTTTTAAGTTTAAACTATATGCATATAGGGAAAATCAATTACCCCCCAGGGCGGGGCCAATTTTGACCCCAGGGCTTTTATTTGAACAAACTTGGTAGACATTCACTAGAAGATGTTTCATGCCAAATATCTAAGCTCTAGCTCTTTGGGTTCTTTAAAAGAAGATTTTTTAAGTTTTTACTTTATGCATATAGGGAAAATCAATGACCCCCTGGGGCGGGGCCAATTTTGACCCCAGGGCTTTTATTTGAACAAACTTGGTAGACATTCACTTGAAGATGTTTCATGCCAAATATCTAAGCTCTAGCTCTTACAGTTCTTTAAAGGAAGATTTTTTAAGTGTTTACTATATGCATATAGGGAAAATCAATGACCCCCCGGGGCGGGGCCAATTTTGACCCCAGGGCTTTTATTTGAACAAACTTGGTAGACACTCACTAGAAGATGTTCCATGCCAAAAATCTTAGCTCTAGCTCTTACAGTTCTTTAAAAGAAGATCTTTTAAGTTTTTACTATATGCATATAGGGAAAATCAATGACCCCCCGGGGGCGGGGCCAATTTTGACCCCAGGGCTTTTATTTGAACAAACTTGGTAGACACTCATTAGAAGATGTTTCATGCCAAATATCTAAGCTCTAGCTCTTAGGGTTATTTAAAAGAAGATATTTAAAGATTTTTCTTTCGGTTGCCATGGCAACCAGAGTTCTGCATGGAATTAAATTCTTTGAACAATTTTTAAAGGTGACCACCAAAGGAACATTCCTGTGAAGTTTGGATGAAATTGGCTCAGTGGTTTATGAGGAGATGTCATTTAAAGCAAAAGTTTACGGACGGACGACGGACGGACGGACGCCGGACGAAAAGCGATCACAAAAGCTCACCCTGTCACTTTGTGACAGGTGAGCTAAAAATCATGCCAATAAAAAAAGATGAAAAACACAATATCCAGGTCCCATTTTACAACACATAGTACAGAAAATGTGAAAATTTGAATTTGTTTAAATAAGCTAGAACAAAATATAAATTAACCTTTTCCCTTATATAAGCGTGTTTCGACGGCTTTTTGCCCCCCCCCCCTTTTTTGTGGCCTCAAACAGTGAAAAAATGCCCTATTTAGGCCCCAAACACTGTTTTTCGTTTGAGAAATGTTGTTAAAAAAATTGACCATCTTTTCGGCGCCGTCCCCCATCCAAATATTACATCAGGGGGTTGCCAGAAGGGGGATGTGCCCCCTTCTGTTTGGGGGGTTTGAAGGGGGGCGGAGTCCCCCTCATCGCCAAGAAAATTTTGGACTTGTGAGAGGCTTAAAATGACCCCAGGTCGATCATAAGGTAACGTGTAACCAACGCTGAAAAGCCTTTGACTCTATCTCAATCCCTTGAGAAGTTGCAGCACTTTGAAATAAATTTTGATGGAAAATATCGAGGCAAAAAAGTGATTTTTGGCAATTTTGAGATATCCCCTCGTTGCCACGGTAACAGGAAATTTAAGACTGAGCATGTCGTTACAAAGGCAATGGTCCAGTCAACATTTGTGCCAAGTTTGATTAGTATTGAAGCATTTTTCATAGTTTCATAGCAGTTTGAACTTGTGAGAGGAGGCTTTTCAGTGAAAATGGCCATTTTTCACAATATGCTCATGGGGGAAAGGGTTAAACAAATGCAGTTTATAGTAAAACAACATATTTAAAAGTTTTAAAACCCTGTGAACTTATAATGCAAACTATTTTTCTGTTTCATTGTTTTCAACTTTATATCAAGACCATAATAAATAAATGCTTATCAAGGAAATACAATATCTCTCCATGCTTAAAAGTACAAGAAAATACTCAAACTAGATTAAAATAACAATATCTGTCATATAGTGCGATTCAGATTCTTGAGAACCCACCCATTTCCCCTCAGGACAGATATTCCGATCCGAACCGCAAACATATGTCAGATATTATTTCTATTCATATTCTACCATATTCCATCATATTTTAAATTCTTGTAGCCTTAATAAAACAATTTTCCATTGAAATTTATGCCATTACACCCGTAACTATTTTCTTACAGCGTATAAAATTACATCTTTCGTTCATAACAGCAAAATTAAGTCATCCTAAGCATACCATTGTACAGCATGCGACTCATCTGCCCCCACCCTCCTGGAGGTGCATTAAAGAACTAGTCGTTACCGTGACTTCAACAAGTGTAAAATCCATCCCTGCTAAACCCCACACCCACACTAAAAAACCTAAACAAACAAAAAAGACCAAAATGACTTGCTTTTTTTCAGACTTGGGTCTCAAAAAATTAATTTCCAGTGGCGGTTAAAAATAAATATACATGTATATCACACCAAGTGTTAAATTTGAGACACTGAAAAAAAAATCTCATTTTTAATTCAATCTGAAATTGGGAAATCAGTTCATAACAATTCATTAATACATCACTATAAGAATATCCGAAGCTTCATTTTTACGAAGAACTGTAATATTAAAGCTTCTTTAAAAAAAATTATATTGCACAAAACAGGAAAAAAAAACAACAACAAACAAAAAGAAACAATTATCACTACCCACTGTACTGAACATTTTCAGCAGCATATGTTATGTAAGGCATAGAGTATGAAAAAAAATCTTGTACAGGTTACAACAGAGTTGATAAAAGAGGAGAAAAATGAGGTTGATTGATTCAAAGCTCTGCTGTCACTGTTGTGAACTATTTACAATGTTTCTTTCTAAAATATATCTAGACCAGATTGTACACATATAGTTGTGTATATGTTACAGCAGAGTTGACAAAACTAGAAATGTGTCCATAGGACACGGATGCCCCCACACGCCACTATTCTGTCAATCTTATGACTCTAGGTCAAATATTTTTTGGACTACATGTGCCACAAGTTGAAAACTAAAAATCAACAAAGGGCCATAATTCTGTTAAATTTGGTCGCAGCAAAAATTCCTTCCTTTACTACCATCTACACATTAAGGTTGTTAATCCCTGGAAGTTTAAGCAAAATCTGCCATCCGGTTTAAGAGGAGTTGCGTTCACAAAATTTCTACATAGTATATAATGAAAAAATAAAAAAAGGGCCATAATTCTGTTAAATTTGGTTGCAGCAAAAATTCCTTTCTTTACTACCATCTACACATTAAGGTTGTTCATCCCTGGAAGTTTAAGCAAAATCTGCCATCCGGTTTAAGAGGAGTTGCATTCACAAAATTTCTACATAGTATATAGTGAAAAAATCAACAAAGGGCCATAATTCTGTAAAATTTGGTCGCAGCGAAAATTCCTTCCTTTACTACCATCTACACCTGAAGGTTGTTCATCCCTGTAAGTTTAAGCAAAATCTGCCATCCGGTTTAAGAGGAGTTGCTTTCACAAAATTTCTACATAGTATATAGTGAAAAAATCAACAAAGGGCCATAATTCTGTTAAATTTGGTCGCAGCAAAAATTCCTTCCTTTACTACCATCTACACATTAAGGTTGTTCATCCCTGGAAGTTTAAGCAAAATCTGCCATCCGGTTTAAGAGGAGTTGCTTTCACAAAATTTCTACATAGTATATAGTGAAAAAATCAACAAAGGGCCATAATTCTGTTAAATTTGGTCGCAGCGAAAATTCCTTCCTTTACTACCATCTACACATTAAGGTTGTTCATCCCTGTAAGTTTAAGCAAAATCTGCCATCCGGTTTAAGAGGAGTTGCGTTCACAAGATTTCGGGACGTACGGACGGACTGACGGACAAGTGCAACGCTATATGCTCCCACATTGTGGGGGCATAAAAATTAAGAAATGAGGTTGATTACCATAAATAATCACTGGTGTGGAATATGTACAATTATGTAGAATGTTCCTTGACTAAGTATGTTGACAAGATTACATGATTCAAGTATATAAAACTTGAATAAACAGTCTGTAACAATTGTATTTTTATGAAGTTAAAATAGAATACATTTTTCAGTATTATCCTTCTTTTAAAGATACTGAGTAATAATTATATATGTATATTTGGTAAAATAATTGTTTCATGATAGAATTTATCATATATTTATGATATCATAAAAATAACACAAAAGTATCTGAAATGTCACTGTAAATATTTGTAAATATTCTATCCAACAGGCAGCACATAAGCTAAATTATCACTAAGCTTGCTCAGAATTTATTCTGTATCCTTATATTAACGCATGTACTTTGGTTTCAGAGTCAATCTTTTTTATTTCTTTTAGTTATTTTTCTTCAAATTAGACCACTAGAAATTTAAAATAAAATAATATTAAACAGATTTTTGAAAATTTTGAGTATATTATGCCATTTGTAGGTTTACACCCTTTTATCATATATAATTCATCAGAAATTAAAGAATAATCATTGAACTTGAACATTATTTATACAATCTATGTGAAATAATAATAAAATAATTTTAACAAAAAACAATAACAACCATCAATAACAACAATAATTGGTATAAAGTAATTAATTGTGAGATAAAAATAATCTATATACAGTAGAGGGTATTTAACATTGTACATCAAAAGTGAAAATGGAAACATAATTTACATGACAAAAAAGCAAAACTAGGATAATATACATTTGAAAATTTCTAGTTACATAGTGTTTACTTATTTTGTTGAAAATGCATTTTATGGGGTTATATTCTTAATGAACATAACTTAATTCAATAAAAGAATAACTCGAATCAAAACTTAATTCACTACTGAAACTTTATTATCTATATAACAAGAAGAATTTACAAATGAGTGTCCCTTTAGAACTGCCATTTTTGACAAAAACCAAATAAATACTATTCCCTACAATATCAAATTTTGTTCAGAACAGAAACTCTTGTCAATATCATGAATCAACAGGTAAGTGTATATCCTGAAGTAATCAGGTAACATTATAAAGCAAAATATATTCTATAATACAGTCAAACCTGGAAACAAATGCCATCCAAAGGAGCGACTGAACATGGGCTTTATAGACAAGTGGTCTTTATTTGGAGGTAACTTTGGCTTTTTTAATAAATGAAGGTTTGTTGAAGAGTGGTCTTTATCTACAGGGTGTTCTTTATCTACAGTGATCTTTATTCGCAGGGTGGTCTTTATCACAGATTTGACTGTAGTACAAATTTGAGCATTCTTATAATATATACAGATGCATTTAAAAAAATCTATACAGGCTAGAATAAAATATATAACATAAATAAATTTACATAAACACAAAAAAAAACAGATTTGTAATCTCGATATTTATAAAATATCTTTATGTAATGTCCAGGACTGTGACTACCAGTATATATTTTATCGTGCTTTGTTAATTCAGATTTAGTTCCTTGTTTTCCATAATTAAAAGTGATCAATGCATATGGGGGATACGTATATTATAAATTATTTTAAATGGCTTTTTTCTACTGTTTATCTGTAATATGAATCATTTCTGGATAAAAATACATAGGAAATTATACTGGTAAATTTAAACTTGCCTTGCCCAGAGTTTGGAATAGTTCATTAATAATTGTTTAGGTAATTACATAATTTAAATACATCCAACAGCCATTACACGCTAGTCTAGATGGCATGGTACTTCAGACTAGCCTAGCTCTACACTTGTAGAAATGACATGTTATTTTTTAAGACTAGTCTAGTTCTACACTGTTGGAGATAGCACTGAATTTCAGACAAGCCTAGCTCTATAATGGTGGAGATGGCATGATATTTCAGACAAGCCTAGCTCTATGCTGGTAGAGATGACAATAGTAGAGATGGCATGGAATTTCAGGCTAGCATACCTCTACACTGGTAGAGATGACAATAGTAGAGATGGCATGGAATTTCAGGCTAGCATACCTCTACACTGGTAGAGATGACAATAGTAGAGATGGCATGGAATTTCAGGCTAGCATACCTCTACACTGGTAGAGATGACAATAGTAGAGATGGCATGGAATTTCAGGCTAGCATACCTCTACACTGGTAGAGATGACAATAGTAGAGATGGCATGGAATTTCAGGCTAGCATACCTCTACACTGGTAGAGATGACAATAGTAGAGATGGCATGGAATTTCAGGCTAGCATACCTCTACACTGGTAGAGATGACAATAGTAGAGATGGCATGGAATTTCAGGCTAGCTTAGCTCTTTAATGGTGGAGTTAGCATTGAAATTTCAAACTAGCCTAGACCTACACTGGTAGAGATAGCATCAAATCTCTGACTTACCAAGCTCTAAACAGGTGAAGATAGCATGGAATTTTAGACTAGCCTGGCTCTACACTAGCAGAGATGGCAAAGATGTGTAGGCTTGTCTTGATCTACAATGGTGACATGGATTTGTTACCATCATTTCTAGAGATCATCTAGAGGTCAAAGGTTTAATTTAAAGGTGACAATATGTGATCATATACATGTGTTATATGTTTCATAGTATAATAACAATTTATACAATTGTTTGCAATAAATATATTGTAAACAAAACAAATTAATTGATGATGGAATATTTAAAGCATGGTTTGAAGATATTTCTTCACATTAAAAAATCACAATGGTGGAATTGAAATGAAGTGAACGCTATTTCTAGTAACTGACAATGTGTATTAATGGTTGGACCTTGATTATTACACAATTTTGAGTATCCCAAATACATATCATATAAAGCTGTTAGTATGCCAGGAACCAAGACTTTTGAGTCTACAATATCATAAGTGTTGTAAAAGTTCCTGGTACCCTGTACTGTTACACCTGTGCTGTCATTAACTTCACTCTTCGTACAATATCTGCCCGACACAGTGGACATTGCTTGACTGATTCACAACATTGTAGACATGTACACACGTGTCCACAGTTCATAAATATCACTTCAGACTGAAAAAAAATTATCAAAACAATGCTTGGTTATTTAGGGTTTCTAATTTTGATAAAAAAAAATGCTCGGTTATGTTGAGTTTCTAATTTTGATCAAAACAATGCTCGGTTATGTTGAGTTTCTAATTTTGATCAAAACAATGCTCGGTTATGTCGAGTTTCTAATTTTGATCAAAACAATGCTCGGTTATGTCGAGTTTCTAATTTTCATCAAAACAATGCTAGGTTATGTCGAGTTTCTAATTTTGATCAAAACAATGCTCGGTTATGTCGAGTTTCTAATTTTGATCAAAACAATGCTCGGTTATGTCAAGTTTCTAATTTTGATCAAAACAATGCTCGGTTTTGTCGAGTTTCTAATTTTGATCAAAACAATGCTCGGTTATATTGAGTTTCTAATTTTGATCAAAACAATGCTTGGTTATTTATGGTTTTTAATTTCGATCAAAATAATGCTCGGTTATTTTGGGTTTCTAATTTCGATCAAAACCATGCTCAGTTACAGGTGTGTTTTATAAAACATTTAGCACACGTGACTTTTATTACATCTTTCAACACATGTGACTTTTATTACATATTAAACACCTGCCTGTAATACATTATTATTCTCTATCTTTATTCATAAATTCAAATCAAAACACATTGCTCTGAAAAAAAAGCATACTTACAATACTATCAAGGCATATTGTACATTCAGAGTTAAGACCCCTGGCAACAATAGAAGTCTGTCTGGCAGTGAACACAACATCTTCAGGTGGGGCTGTGGGAGGTCTTGAAGGTTCAACAAACGTAGCTTTACCCGCCATACTATCCTGTAAAATATACAGTCAATTTGTTATAAAACTGGTATAAAACAACTTCATATTATGGGTAAATAACTTTATGACAAGTTGCACATATTATTATTATAATTATCTTCCATCGAACAGACTCAATCCAGACCAATCTAAAATGTTCATCTTCTTGGGTTTGTTTCCATTGCTCTAAAGGAACTTCCATTCCCAGATTTTTATTTGGTTCGCAACAATTTTGTGCCTTCATGAAACAAGATCTGTCGGGAGGACAGCATGCTCAACTCTTCTCAGTGCTTTAAAGAAAAAATTTCATGTTAGAGTTATGGGCCTTGCACAGCGACCTATTATCCTCTCAAATAAGTGGGTGAAGTTTCAACCAATTCCCTTTAGTAGTTTTAGAGATACCAACTTGGCACAAAAACTTAAAACTAAGTGTGACGCTGACGCAGGAGTGAGAACAATAACTCTTCCTATTCTTCAAATAGTCAACCTAAAAAGTTAAACTAAATTTGAATTTGGAATGTTCAGTGTTGACAGGAATTTCAAAATCAAAATTAAGAAGCCAAAAGTGTATACAAAGACAGTACTGTGAAGTTCAAACTGCCTTTTTTATTGACACAATGCACTCAAATGATTAATTCTAATTGTTCAACCATACAAACCAGTGAACAAAATTTAGTAATTATTACAGAATAATCTGAACATACCATTTCTCCAAGCTTGTTCTGTTCTTGTTTATATGCCTCTACACATCTGAGTATATCTTTACGTATTCCTAGCTCATGAATGCCCATCTACAAAATATAGGATACCTTTTCATCTTAATCTTATTCACTTATTCTTCATTGTAAATACAAAGAGCTTACAGCTAGCTGCAACATGTTTGTATCTGTATTTTGAAAATTTACCTTTACAAGAGAGGAATTGATATAAGTATTGTTTTTCTTGTTTTCCAATTGTATCTGAATTTCTTTGTTGTGAAATGTTTGTTTATGTTGTTTATGTACAATTTATTGAATAAATAAAATGTAAACTACATGTAAATTTTATTGACAAAACATTTTGTTTTGTGATGGACGAGAGGGTAACTAATACTGCTTACGTTACTCTTGTTTTTTGTTATTTTCTTATATTTTGTTTGCAATTCACCCTAGCACTGTTAATGTCATATGGCAATTTTCAAGCTTTATTGATGGAGGGAAGACCTCAGATTCCCTTTTGGAAATTATTTCAGGCACAAGCTGTCACCTGAGTAGAACTACTGAAGCTCTGTTAGCTGGACAGCTTCCCTTCAGAAAACAATTCAAAAATTTCTGGTGGGATTCAGCCATTTTTTAAACAGGCAACCTGGTAAATTTTATATTATCAAGCCAAACATCTACACAAACAAGAGCAACGCATGCAGTTATAACTCTTGTCTGTTAAGGGCTACAACTATCAAAACCCAATTTTGACAAAAAATTTGAAGTTACAAAGGGGCATAACTCCAAAAATTAGCCTTAAAGAATAATGCCTCTTGTCTTACAAAAGTTCTGCATTTTTTCATGATACACAAGCATTCCAATTTCATATTGATACCTTTTAAATGTTTATATAATGGGCTAAATTAAGTTTTTCCATGACGACAATGTTGACGCAGAGATTATAACAGCTTGTCTTATTCTTCAAAACAGATGAGCTAAAAACCATCATTAACTACCGGTACCTGTTTGAAGTCATCTTCTGTCATCTGTACCAGAGTTTCTATGGTGATTCTATGTCTAGCAAACCTAGGTAAATAATCCTCAGCCTTGGCTTTATTTAATATCTTCACAACACTAATCTCTAGGTTCTGCTCCTGTTATAACAAAATTAACAAAACAAAGTTATCTAAAATTCCATAATTACAATATAATATTAGTCTATATAAAAATTTTTGGGTTTCTTATTTTAATCAAAACAAATAAATGGTTGTTTTTAAATATAACCCTCGAGACGCTAGGTAATAAATAAGTTCATGAGAGAAAATGAATGAATTTTTTGTTTGTGAGAAGTAATTAATAATTTTGTCAATGAGTTATAATGAATGAATAAGTAAGTTTGTTCGAGGTTATGAATTCATTCATATGATGTATTTAATGAATAAATTTGTTCACGAAAGGTCTTGAATGAGTTTGTTCATGAGAGGTCTTGAATGAATTTGTCATGTGATGAAGTTATTCATGTGAAGTAATGGCATGAATTTCTTCATGAGAGTCATAATTAAGGCTAATCATGAGAGGTTCTGAATGATTTTTTTCATGAGAGGTAATGAATGAATTTATTCATGAGAGGTATTGAATGAATTTGTTCATGTAAGGTAATGCAACGAATATCTTAATGAGAGTCATTATTGAAGCTAATCATGAGAGGGCATGAACATTTCATCAGATAATAGTTTAAATAATTTTTCCTACTAACCCTATCAATGAGAGACTGTGGTTTTTGATCCATAAGTCTTTGATATTGTACCAGCCAATAATCTGTTTGACCATCCTCTTTCTGCTGTTCCATCTCTTCCTATAAATAGAAACACAGTCTATATTTAGTAACATAATTTCTATATATGGAATTATCAATCTATATATACATGTAGTAACACAATTTTTGTAAATGGTAGCACTTCTCTATACTGGCAGTAGACAATTTCAACAATGGAATTTCATGCATTAAATAAAAATCATCGATTAATTTACCTCACATTCTAGATCTGCAAAGAGATATTTTTAATACTGTCTATTTTTCACAAACATAACTTTTTATGGGCATGTTATCTTACAGAGAGGTTGTTTCACTCTTTATCAGGAAAAAATCGAATTTGACATTTTCCTCAAATAACCATGAAATTATCTAATTGATGATATCTTTATAGAGGCATTATACAGTCTCCTTTTAGAATCAACAGAATAAAATCAGTGTACCAGTCAAAACTTTGGATAAATTATTTTAATAAATCAGTATCTCAGTCTAAACTCTAATTAAGTTCAATTTCCATAAGTTTGAGAAATTAAACAAAATACCAGTCTAGTTTTTATCAAATTTTCTACTTATAAAAATAAAAAAATAACAACATTAAAATCTTATCAATGTACCAGGCAGTATATAAAAATTATCTTTTCATAGCAATATCCAATGTATAAAAAATCAATATACCACTCTATATCAATATACCACTCTAGAAATTATCACTTTATAATATATCAAAACATAACCAATATACCAGTCTATTTAATAATCTATTTATAGAAACATCAATATCTAATCAATGTACCACCAGTCTATAAATTGTCTATTTATAAAAATATCAAAATATAATCAACAGACCAGTCTATAAAATCATCTATTTATAGTAACATCAATATCTAATCAATGTACTAGTCTATAAATTGTCTATTTATAATCAAAATAATCAACAGACCAGTCTATAAAATCATCTATTTATAGTAACATCAATATCTAATCAATGTACTAGTCTATAAATTGTCTATTTATAGAAATATAAAAAAATAATCAATATACCAGTCTATTTAATAATCTATTTATAGAAACATCAATATCTAATCAATGTACCACCAGTCTATAAATTGTCTATTTATAAAAATATCAAAATATAATCAATAGCCCAGTCTATTTAATAATCTATTTATAGAAACATCAATATCTTATCAATGTACCACCAGTCTATAAATTGTCTATTTATAAAAATATCAAAATATAATCAATAGCCCAGTCTATTTAATAATCTATTTATAGAAACATCAATATCTAATCAATGTACCACCAGTCTATCTATCTATCTCTGGATACTGCCAACCCCTCTTACGAGTGTTAAAGGCAGGAATTTAGTGCACGTCGGATTGTTAGTAAAAGGTGAAGAGAAAAGCTAAAAAGAAAAGTCCAAACATTGACATGCTTGGAAGGTGAGACTGAAAAATGTATTCTAGTCATGGTTAAAATGTTAATAGTGAAACAAGATGATAAGAGATAAAATAGTTTAAAAACACTGGGAGTAAGACTAGTACTGCAAACCCACCACTGCCTGTTTGAACTGACTCAGGTTGGGCAGGGTGGCAATGTTACTAGGAAGTTTATTCCATAGTATAATGCTATGAGGGAAGAAAGAGTACTTATGGTAGTCGGAGGATACCTGTATTTGACGTAGGGATAAGGGATGCATATGTCTGGTTAATCTATGTGGGGTTTGAACATAAGTTGGGAGATTAATTGCAACTAGGTTATGGTATATCTTATAAAACATTATCAGTCTACAGTCCAGTCTGCGATGTTCAAGGGATCGCCAGCCCAGTTTTTCCTGCATGGCTGTGACACTAGAGTGAGGGGAGTAATCCCTTTTAACCCATCTTATTGCACGTCTCTGGATCATCTCAACTTTGTCAATATTGGTTTTAGTATAAGGAGACCAAATAGATGAGGCATATTCAACCTGTGGGCGGACCAGGGACTTGTATGCTAGTTCTTTTACTTTCTCATTTTTAGTGATGACATTTTCTTTTAATAAAGCCAAGGGATCTGTTTGCATTGGAAGTTATTCGAGATATATGTGTATTAAATTTAAGGTCAGCAGATAGATCTAGTCCGAGATATTTAGCATTTGTAACAGACTCTAGGATTTGGCCATGGAGCATATATTTGTGTTTAATTATGGTCTTATTTTTGGTGATATGGATGACTTGGCATTTTGAAGGGTTAAACTCCATGTCCCACTGCTTCTCCCACAGAACCATATTGTCTAGATCATGTTGGAGAGTTGGGGGGTCTGAGGAGGAATTGATGGTTAGGTATACAGCAGTGTCGTCTGCAAATAATCTGACTTGGGATTTGAGGACAGAAGATGGTAACTTGTTGATATATAGAAGGAAACAGAGGGGCCCTAGGACCGAGCCTTGGGGCACTCCAGAGGTAACTGGGACTTCAGATGAGCAGTCACTATCCACAACTACTGTCTGTCTACGGCCAATAAGGAATGACTGTATCCAGTTTAGAATTTGAGGACAAACACCATGTTCTTGCAGGGTATCTAAGAGTTTAAGATGGTTTACTTTATCGAAAGCTTTGGAGAAGTCAAGAAGTATAAGATCTGTTTGTTTTGCCATTTGAAAGGTTGTTCACAAAGTAATCAGTAAGTTCAATGAGTTGTGTCTCACATGATCGTCTTTTCTCTGAATCCATGCTGAAGATCAAAGAGTATGTTGTGGTGGTAAAGTGAGAGGATAGTTGAGAGGCAACTATATGTTCGAGTGTTTTACAGAGGATGCATGTAAGGGAAATTGGGCGATAGTTTGCTGGATCACTTGTATCACCTTTTTTGTAGACAGGGCATACGTTTTGCACGGGTCCAGTCATTGGGAATATTACCGGTGGTCAGGGATTTTTGGAAAAGAACTGCAACGATGTCAGCAATCTCTTCTCTCAGCTCCTTCAGGACAATTGGTCTAATGTTGTCAGGGCCGGCAGCTTTGTTGGCATTGAGGTTGGCGAGGAGCTTTAGTACACCTGCCCTACCGATGATGATGTCATTCATTTGTGGGTACTGACAATACCAGTCTATAAATTGTCTTTTATAAAAATATCAAAATATAATCAATAGCCCAGTCTATTTAATAATCTATTTATAGAAACATCAATATCTTATCAATGTACCACCAGTCTATAAATTGTCTATTTATAAAAATATCAAAATATAATCAATAGCCCAGTCTATTTAATAATCTATTTATAGAAACATCAATATCTTATCAATGTACCACCAGTCTATAAATTGTCTATTTATAAAAATATCAAAATATAATCAATAGCCCAGTCTATTTAATAATCTATTTATAGAAACATCAATATGTAATCAATGTACCACCAGTATATAAATTGTCTATTTATAAAAATATCAAAATATAATCAATAGCCCAGTCTATTTAATAATCTATTTATAGAAACATCAATATCTTATCAATGTACCACCAGTCTATATATTGTCTATTAATAAAAAGTCTATAAATTGTCTATTAATAAAAAATATCAAAATATAATCAATACACCAGTCTATTAAGTAATCTATTTATAGTAACATCAATATCTAATCAAACATACCAGTCTACGTCTGAGCTCAATCTGTCTATTATCTTGTTCTAGCATCAATTGTGACAACAGCTCTATAAGAGCTATACGTTTCTCTGCCAGACGATTCTGTAATTTAAACATAACCATTCAGAATTTTTTTTTGTAAGCAATCACAGATTAATCAGTTTGATACTGAATTTACAAGTTATTTCAATACCACATGGGATTAAATCTGAAAATATACGGACATTATGTAAAACAATTATGTAGTTACACAACATTCCACTTTAATTTTTTCTCTATGTTATGCAGACATAATGAAACATTTCGGACAATTGTATATTAAACTTAAAATAACATTTACCTGGAAGAAAATTCAAAAATACAAAGTTTCCCACACTGTGATATATTATCCAGATTTGCTTAGATGTTTTGGGGCAACTAATAATTACATTAATATTGTTAAAAAAAATCATTAAAGTGTCAAAGGTTGAGAAAAATGTGCAGCCTGACTGGGACTCAAACCCTGGACCCCCGGAATACCGTTCCGCGGCTATACTGACTGAGCTATCCGGTCACATACACACTATCTCCCCTAAAAAGTGAACAGTTCTGAACCGTGACAAAAGTTTACCAGTTGATTGAAGCACAGTGACTTTGAACACACAAGTTTCGACTTTTTTTATCTGATGTTGTGACAAAATTACAGCATTATTCTTTTTGTTACACATCTAATTTCCTCTTAAAAAGATTATTTTATCAAGAATTATCAAGACAAAGTCATCTAAAGAACATCTTACCATTTCCTCAAAGGCCCTGAACTCTCTCCTTTCCACCTCCACTACTGTCAGGTTAGACAACTCTTCCTGGATTAAAGCTATCTGATTGGTAATTCTTTGATGTTTTGCATCTTTCTGTAACAACAGGGCTTCAAAAGCATCCCTCTGAAGTTGTTCCTATAATTATATATGTCTCCCTTTATCCAGTTGATATTTCCCCTCTAAAATATCTATTTATTAGCCAACTAAAGCTTTAAAGATTTTATTCAATAATTAGCAAAATAAAATCTTGAAAATTTAATTCAGTTAGTTGCCAAATGATTCATGAAATTGAAAAAAAAAATTATAATATATCATAGGGTTATGGTGATTGTGCTTTGGACCTAGTTCTTTAGCAGCCTTTCATTTCATTTCAAACTACGAAAAATTCAAACATTGAACAAACCTGTTTGGCTAAATCTTCTAGAAGTAATGTCATCTGTTTGTCATTATTTAACAAAACACTTTCTATCTGAGCATTGGCCATCATCTCATCACTGTAATAAACAATATGACAATGACAATGACAATAGATTTTATTCAGCATTAAACATTGTACAAATGTTTATAGCAAGAAATAATGAATGGGCAGACATTAAACTTTTAAACTTTTACATATAGCTGGCATTTTTTTTTCATTAAGTGCACAACTTATGTCAGTCTAAAGATGTTAGGAGCATCTTGGTTAAGTCACCTACAAAGTCATAATTCATGATTTACAAAGTCCTACTGGTTCAGGTGTCTGTCTCTAAACCTTGAAGTTATAGGTTTGAGCCCTACTTGAGTCCTTTGGCCCTCACCAATACTGGTAAGTTCCAGGCAGAAGACTCGCAAGAAATTCAAAAAAGCTTCAATCTTTTTTTATAATCAAGCTAAAATTATCATATTTAACCTTTAGCCTGTTAGAACCAGCTCGATAAATCTTTATAGTCTCACTAGGCTCTATACTGTAAGCTGATAAACTTGAAATTTTCATTTTGTTTTGCCTTAAAACCATAATGGACAGTTCCAAAAATGAAAGCCAGACAAGTCCATTTTTTTTTTGGAATATAACAGGTTCTGGGTAGCAATGAAATTCATGCAGATAATTAGAAGAAAACGTGTACTTCTCTAGGGCCATCTGTAAAGAGTTCTCCTTGTCAGATGCGAAGTTCTTTCTCACACCTTCAAACCATTCTGAATGATGTAATATCATCTCCATATTCTCTACAAATAAAAAAATAATTACATTCATCTATTGAACATCTCATTAATATTCTGTTTCGACATTTAAAACAAAATACAAGTGCCTACAGATGGACAGCACACCCAAATATAAAGCGCTTTTTTGCATATTTTGACTTTTTTTTTTGGTAATTTATGTGGTATGTAAGTGCCAAATTTCTTTCTTTGTTCACTTCCAAATACTTTTGAATATATTTTCAATTTTTAAATGAGAATTAGCATGAATCTGGAAGCATGCTGCTTTGAACCAACTTCAATGGTGGTAAATATATTTTAATAATAAAAATCTTTAGCAATAATACACATCTAGCCACAGCAGTGGGGGGCCCAAGTTATTTAATATAAAAAAAAAAACCCTCAGTGATGTAGGCCCAACAGCTTGAATTGAAGTTCATTTAGATATCAAAACTTAATAAAGATATCATGCCTGAAAATGATATGATAAGTTTGTTTCTGTTGTTGATTATATACATATAATTGGGATTACAGTTAAACTATCACTGTATAGGTCATATGACAACTTTCCAGCTATACTGATGAAGAAAGTCCTCTTATTTCAGGCATGAGCAGTCACCTTCGTAGAATCTCCACTAGTTGGACAACTTCCTCACATAAAAGAATCCAAAGTTCCCAGTGAGATTCAAACTTACAGCAGTGTCTGGTACGTGATTAAATGTGCAGTGTAAAATACTTACTGAGCACTTCTTTTTTCCTGAGGTTTTGACTTTCTTCCCATCTTACTTCAAACAATTTGTTCTCCTTGATCCTGTGATGAAAAAATAACAACATGTAACAAATGTAAAACAATATTCTAAAAGAACTCCAATGTTTGTAAAATATTATTAAATAAACTGATTAATATAAAGTTTAAATGAGTTTACTCCAAGCTTGACCCTGATATTAATTCATTTAACCTCTGGTGTGGTTAACAAATGTGTATAATGAAAATCACTTTGACAAACCTTTCTTCTTCAATTGCATCTAACAGCTCTTCAGTTTTCTTGGCTTTAGCATTCATATCCAGTAGACTAGAGATAAGGTTATCTGCCCCTTCTTCCACTGTAAAATCACAAAAAAATTATACATTTACATTAAAACTGGTATACATATTTTACCAGAGGGGATTCATAAATTTAAGGCTGTCTAAGATGGAAGTTTGAAGCATATTTGAACCATATGAATAAATTTTCTGGGAAATACCCATTACCCAGTCCTGCTGACATCTTTAAATTAAAGGGACTCGACTGAGGTATTTTGACACAGAAATATTATTTTGAGAATAATGTTCCATGTTATGTTGTACTATACCAGTAACTTATGATTTTCAATTACTCCATTATTGGGAAAAATGACCTAAATTGAAAAGAATTAGTACATTTTTCACTCAAGTCGAGATAGGAACATCCTGGGAAAAACAACAATGATTTTTCAATGCATTTTCAAGTATATTTCTTAATTATCTTCTACATATATTTCTGTTTAAAGTGCACCCGCTGATCTATGTAATAAATTCAAATTTTGTGGGTTATTTTTTTTAAACTTTCGTACCTCAGGCAAGTCCCTTTAACTTAATATTTTCATCTCCACACCCCCACCTCCCGAAATTGATAATGAACTGTTCCAAATACAAAACAGGGCAAGTCCATTATTCAAAGTCAGCAGGTTAAGGGTCAAAGTTTTGTACCTTTTCTCAGATCATCTATCAGATTTTTCTGGTTAATCTCTTTCTGTTTGGATAATTTATCGAGCTCCCTCTCCATCTTGCTCTCTTCCTGCGCTATGATGGCGATCATCTGGTCACGATTTTTCTGGGCCATGAGCGCGAGCTGTGCCTGCTCCTCCTGGTGCTCAGCAAACTGACGCTCTACTTCTATCAGCTCCAGACGTTTCTGATTCTAAAAATAAATATTACAGCATATAGGTTAATTTTTACTTGAGTTGGTTTTAAGATAAATAAAATAAATATAACAGTGTAAAAGGGCCATTTCCCAACTTTTTGATGATTGCAAGATGAAAAGGTGCCTCTAGGTATATTTTGTTTTTTTATTCAGGGTGCATGTTGATACCTGTACAGACCTTCCAAATGTTCCATTCACAACCTTTTCTTATCCTTTTTCATATATCTACAGGAATGTCTTCATCTTTAAATAAACAAAACATTGTTTTCAATTTTATATAAATTCTATCTAAAATATGCTATACTAAAATTATTATGATGTGATTTTTAATACATATGTAAATAAATCAAAGTACATGAAATAATAACATACCAACATATCATTGTAACCTGTTATGTGTTTCTGAAAATAAAATAGAAAATAAAACAGATGTAGGTCATTTCCAGCAAAATCAATAAAATGTAGGTAATTTTAGGATAACTCAAATAAAATTTAGGTCAATCAAAGTCACCTCAATAAGATGGAGGTCAATTAAAGTCAACTCAGGCTGTAGGTCAATTCAGGATAACTCAATAAAATTTATGTTATTTAAGGCCAACTCAATAAAATTTAGGTCATTTAAGGTCAACTCAATAAGATGTAGGTCATTTAAGGTCAACTCAATAAGATGTAGGTCATTTAGTGTCAACTCAATAAGATGTAGGTCATTTAGTGTCAACTCAATAAGATGTAGGTCATTTAGTGTCAACTCAATAAGATGTAGGTCATTTAAAGCTCAACTCAATAAGATGTAGGTCATTTAGTGTCAACTCAATAAGATGTAGGTCATTTAAAGCTCAACTCAATAAGATGTAGGTCATTTAGTGTCAACTCAATAAGATGTAGGTCATTTAAAGCTCAACTCAATAAGATGTAGGTCATTTAGTGTCAACTCAATAAGATGTAGGTCATTTAAAGGTCAACTCAATCAGATGTAGATCATTTAAAGGTCAACTCAATCAGATGTAGATCATTTAAGGTCAACTCAATAAAATATAGGTCATTTAAGGTCAGCTCAGTTAAATGCAGGAATTTCAAACAGACTGAAGAACATTTCAACCATTTTAAAAAGACTCAAGGAAAAGAATGTAAAGCTTTGTTAATCTACCGTATATATTTATTCATTATTCAGAATTAACATTAACATTAATTGACAAAGCAGTTATAGTAGCTTTTTTTTCAGTAAAAATAAATTGACAAGACAAAAGTTTATTTGAAATTACCAGAAAATGTTCCTCTTGTTGTAATGCCCGACTTCCCTGCGGACTAAGTAACTCGGGTTTCGGTGGCTCCAATACATTAAGGAGGAAATTGGAAGGAGGTAAATACTCCATATCACATTCTGTAAGGTGCAATAAATAAAGTATTACACAGATATGGTATGCAATATTGTTTGTTATACAGGTGATGCCCATAAAAATAATCCTCTCTGGATAAAATGGGTCTGTTTGTTAGTTATGTACATTTACTGAATGTTCTTTTGGTTACATACTGTAGGTATGTTGAGATTTATAACATCTGTAAAGCGTTTTTAATTGATCTTTAACCCACAATAACAGAATTAATAAGCCTTTGCCACCAGTAAAGAACCAGTTTAATAGTTTTCAGGGTTTTCATTATTAACAGATTGATGATCCATATCATCAGTTAAAATGCTGTTAAAAATCAGTTGTATTTTAAGCCTGTATATTAAAATTTATCCTGCTACTGTCTATATCATCAGCTGGATAAAGCCTCGCCGGATAAACTTGTCTATCTCCAGTCATAACGTCACATGGTGACGTCACATGTTTAACAGCAAAACAAAACTACATATAGATGCTATTTTATCGGGGGAAAACAAGAATGAAACCATTTAATTATTCTAAAAACATGATAAAAAGCAGGATAATTCAAATACATGGAGAAGGTTTATCCGGTTAGCTGCGAAAGTGAATCTTGGCTGGCTCACCGGATAAACCTTCTCCATCCCGACATCAACCATGTATTTTTCTATATCCCCCTTGGCCAATTTGTTGTTTTTGATAAAATGAACTCTCTGCAGTTTGACCAGGCTTTATCCTGTTGGCTGACCAGCTTCAAATTTTCATATTGATACCCCCAAAATTGATAATGGACAATTCCAAAAAATGGAAATAAGACAAGTCCTTTTAGAAATTAAGGAGGTTAATGGTTAAATATCTTAGTGTATGAAAAATGTCGTGAGAATTTTCAAAATAATTTTAAAACAAATATTTCCAAAAATTAATTTCTAAAAACTGATATTAGCTGTATGGTCACAACTGCACTGAACTTTTTTGATCAATTTACTATAGAAAAATATAGAGGGTCCTGAAAAACGTTAAATGATTCTACAAATAGAAGGAAGAACATTGATTTTCTATACAATCATTTTCAAGACCTTCCTGGTAGGTTATTTCCTTGTATCAAGATATCAGAGCAGTATTCCGAATTCACTTTGTTATACACACTACTACATACATGTATAAGACCAATGTTTGACCTTTTCACCAGTTGAAACAGAAAGTGACATTTCTATGCCATTAGTATAGAACCAGGCCAGCCTGTACAACCACACAATCTGACCAGGCTCTATACAAGTACTGTTTCCAAATTATTTTCAAATTTTTATCTTTACATCCCCAAAAATGATAATAGACATACCCAAAATTGGAAGTTGGGCAAGTACATTTTATAAATTTAGCAATGTGACAGAAATGTCTCTGCGGATGAGATAAAAATTAATACAAACCTGAGCAAAGAAATTTCATGATAGCTTCTGTACCTGAACAGCAAATAGCTGCAAAAGAAAATGAATTTGATACATAAGTGATAGCCTTGTCCTGATATTTTATTTAGACACTTAAAAGGCGCATTATGCCCTAGAAATGTGTTTTTTTTTATTTCTCAATATTGTTTTCTTTTTGGTTACTCATTGGCCAATTATCTGAACTGTTTTCTTCTTCTGTTGCTTGGTACATTGGCAATTGGTACATTAAAAATGATTGTGTATGAAAGTGAAAATACTACTTTGTTTACATTTTGCTACTTTTATATTTAGCACTATTTTCTTCAGGTAACAAGCATTTAACATACCGTACTCTAAAACCATTATTTAAATTTATAAAACTCATGTATGACCTTTCTAAGGAAGTAAATATTTGTTCATTTCTGAGTTATAATGTGCCTTAAGTGGATTTTTATTTCTATATAAAGGACAAATATGTGTTTTATAATGTTGTAATAATGGAACATGTAAAATGCTTATCACCTAAGAAAACAAGGAACATCGCAATGCGATGCAACCAGGTTTTCAGCAAAATATTTCACAGAAGCTTTGTCATGAAGGGGCATTTGTTTTTAATTGAACTTTTAGGAGGAATTATGGTTTTTTAAAATTCCTCAAACAAAAATGATTGAGAAATTTTATGTTGTCTGTTCGCCTTTTTTTCCCAAATATTTTAGAAAGGTAAACAGTACTTTATTTTTGCTTAATTTTTGCATTTTTGCGTCTCTTGTCATTTTCTTTTGTCAACAATATTGGCGTGTGGTGTTTTGTGCAATATCAAGAAAAGTATGTTAACAATTTTAAAAAAATACTTGAATGATGTCTTGGAAGAAACATGGGAATTTAGTGAGCGCCAGGGCACTTGATGACAAAGCTTCTGTGAAAGTTTGGTCAAAAATCCATTGAGAAATGTAGGAGAAGTTGCGCACTGTAGAAATTGTTCACTATATATTCTGTTATAAGGAAAAAATATACAAAGGGCCATAATTCGGTCAAATATTATCCAATCACAAAACCCCGACAATATGTGCCAGGCACTTGATAACAAAGCTTCTAAGATCAAAGTTTGGTCAAAATCCGTTGAGAAATGTAGGAGGAGTTGAGCACAGAAGAAATTGTTCTCTGTATATTTCTGTATAAGGAAAAAAATATACAAAGGGCCATAATTCGGTCAAATATTATCCCAATCACAAAACCCGACAATATGTGCCAGGCACTTGATAACAAAGCTTCTAAAAAGTTTGGTCAAAATCCGTTGAGAAATGTAGGAGGAGTTGGGCACAGAAGAAATTGTTCACTATATATTCTATATAAGGAAAAAAACAAAGGGCCATAATTAGGTCAAATATATACCAATTGCAAAACCCTGGCAATATGTGACAGGGCACTTGATGACAAAGCTTCTGAGAAAGTTTGGTCAAAATCCGTTGAGAAATGTAGGAGGAGTTGCGCACAGAAGAAATTGTTCACTATATATTTTATATAAGGAAAAAAAACAAAGGGCCATAATTCGGTCAAATATTATCTAATCGCAAAACCCCGACCATATGTGCCAGGCACTTGATAACAAAGCTTCTGAGAAAGTTTGGTCATAATCTGTTGAGAAATGTAGGAGGAGTTGCGCACAGAAGAAATTGTTCACTATATATTTTATATAAGGAAAAAAACAAAGGGCCATAATTAGGTCAAATATATACCAATTGCAAAACCCTGGCAATATGTGACAGGGCACATGATGACAAAGCTTCTGAGAAAGTTTGGTCAAAATCCGTTGAGAAATGTAGGAGGAGTTGAGCACAGAAGAAATTGTTCTCTGTATATTCTGTATAAGGAAAAAATATACAAAGGGCCATAATTCGGTCAAATATTATCCAATCACAAAACCCCGACAATATGTGCCAGGCACTTGATAACAAAGCTTCTAAGAAAGTTTGGTCAAAATCCGTTGAGAAATGTAGGAGGAGTTGCGCACAGAAGAAATTGTTCACTATATATTCTATATAAGGAAAAAAACAAAGGGCCATAATTAGGTCAAATATATACCAATTGCAAAACCCTGGCAATATGTGACAGGGCACTTGATGACAAAGCTTCTGAGAAAGTTTGGTCAAAATCCGTTGAGAAATGTAGGAGGAGTTGCGCACAGAAGAAATTGTTCACTATATATATTTTATATAAGGAAAAAAAAACAAAGGGCCATAATTCGGTCAAATATTATCTAATCGCAAAACCCGACCATATGTGCCAGGCACTTGATAACAAAGCTTCTGAGAAAGTTTGGTCAAAATCTGTTGAGAAATGTAGGAGGAGTTGCGCACAGAAGAAATTGTTCACTATATATTTTATATAAGGAAAAAAACAAAGGGCCATAATTAGGTCAAATATATACCAATTGCAAAACCCTGGCAATATGTGACAGGGCACATGATGACAAAGCTTCTGAGAAAGTTTGGTCAAAATCCGTTGAGAAAATGTAGGAGGAGTTGCGCACAGAAGAAATTGTTCACTATATATTTTATATAAGGAAAAAAAACAAAGGGCCATAATTAGGTCAAATATTATCTAATCGCAAAACCCCCGACAATATGCGCCAGGGCACTTGATGACAAAGCTTCTGTGAAAGTTTGGTCAAAATCCGTTGAGAATTGTAGGAGGAGTTGCGCACAGAAGAAATTGTTTACGCCCGCCCGCCGCCCGCCCGTCCGCCCATCCGCCCGCCGACATACCTCAATCTAATAACCAGTTTTTTCCTTCGGAAAACCTGGTTAATGACCCTAAATTTGAAATAATTTGTAATGATGGTAGCAAAATGTATAGAGATGTATTTTGACTTCCATGCAAAATACTAAATCACAATAACAGTACCAATTACCAAAGTGCCAAAGAAGTGGGCCCTTAACATTTCACAATACAGGTACTTGATTTTCATTGATTCATAAAAACTGTGCAAATAAGAACAATATCAAATATGTGTGAAATGCTACATTTTAACAAGTCATCTAACACATTAAATAAACTCATGAAAAATTAAATGTATTAATTATTCAATGACAAACAACATCTAAGTACATGTATATATATTTTTATATACATGTATATAATTCTATTATACAGTTTGATAATGGACTAAAAAATCAAGTACTAGTTGAAATACAGGGAGGATTTTTGTCTGTTTCATGTGAATATGCTATATATCACACTGAGAAGTGAGAACATTGCAATATTTTTACGATTGCGCTACATATTCTCCTTTCAATCTATTTATATCTCTTCAGTGTTATGAGAAATCAATAATTTCAATCAGACGATTTAATTGATTTTATCAGTGAAATATCATCTGTGCTGCATAACTGATACCACTTTAAACTGTTGCAGAATTAAAAAAGAAGAAAAGATTTCATATCAAATCACTTTTTGAAATATTCATGTAGCAAATGTTACATAAATATATAAACATGAGGATGAGATAAACGGCATAGTCTAAAGGAGACAAAATGTCTCAGAAAAGCATTTGTGTTCATTGATCAGATTGTATTCAAGTTTAACTTAAAGTAACATAATATTATATTCTTAAAACACACTGAAAACAAACAAGAACCCTTAATATACTCACTATAATTCGGATATTTCATACTAATAGCGTCCAGATTGAGCGTTTCTAATGTTCGGACCTGACACAGTTGCCGTGGTAATTCGGTTATCCGGTTTTCTCGGATTTCAAGCATTCGGAGAGATTTCATTTGACAAACACTGTCAGGTAACTCTTTAATCTTGTTACCTACAAAATGAAAACATTGCGATTAATTTAACAGGTCTTATCAAAATAGAAAACATTATTACATGGAAACTTATCTCATGATTATGTAACATGCCCCATGGCAAAATGGATGTTTTTTAAACATCATGTCGCATGAAAGATTGATTAACAGATTTTGAAAACAGTGTTAAAGCAATTTTGGTGCAGTTTAGATTTTCTAATCAATCATCTACCTGATGCTGTAACATTACGAGAAAACCTGAGATTTAATTTGATACAAGAAAATCCTAGGAAAGGCACTTAGAGGAAATTAGTGATTCATTTGATAAAAAAATCAAGCAAGTACAGTCAAACATGTACATAAAGGCCATCCAAGGGAGAAGCTTAACATGTCCTTTATGGATAAGTGGTCTTTATTTGGAGGTAATTCTATATAATCAATTTAGGCTGTTGAAGAGTGGCGTTTATCTAAAGGGTGTACCCTAAAAAGAGGTGGTCTTTAACACAGGTTTAACTGTTAACTTGATAATGTATTACTGAGTATGAGAAAACAAAATACTTAGATTCTACTGGTCTACAGAAACAGATTTGCAGTGATAACACTCGTCTGTTGAAATAACCACTTTTGACAAAAGTTCTAAGTTAAAAGGGGCATAACTCTACAAATATAGCTTTGAAGTTTCAGAACTATGAACCTTGTCTAACAACTGCACCTTGTTATGATAAGCATTTTTTTATTACCTCGTTATCACTTCTTTAATGTTTGAATGATGGGCTACATTAAAGTTTTTGCCTGACAATGATGACGGCAATAACCCAGCAATCATTATAGCAAAACTTTTTCTACACATCAGAAGAGCTTATAATAAATATAATGCCTTAATTTTCTACACATCAGAAGAGCTTATAATAAATATAATGCCTTAATAATATTAAAAACTTGCCTTGGATATTTAATGTTTGTACACAACTAAGATGTCCAATTGTTTTGGGAAGTTTTGTGAGCCTGTTGCGCTCAAGGTTTAACACCTGCAATATTGAAATAGTTGTTTTTAGTAATAGATCATAATCATATCAGTTTCACATCCAGACACAATCAAAGATTGGTTTACTTTAAACATAATTATCTATAACACTCAATTTTTTTCCTAATTTCAAAAGAGTTTCCAATTTTGGGGTTCCAAATTCCAAAATAGGTTTTAAACATGCAATGCAAGCAAAGCAGATAAAAATCGACATAAATTCACCTGTAAACATTTTAGTTCCCCTATTTCATCAGGTATATGTCTGAGCTCATTGTTATGTACATCTAGTACCTGAAATAAACATATTACAATTTATGAACTGAAACTGATAAGCCAGACCAGACTGCAAAATCATATTCAAAATATCTCTCCTTAATTTATTCTATTAGGTTTGAATATGTAGCTCAAACTACATGATAGATTTAAAAACATATTAAGTATACTTCATATAAATTCATGCAGGTTTTAAAGAAATAAGTGAATCCAAATTGACATATTGGTCTTTAATGTGTACAAATATTTATTTAATCTATGTTGTCATTTTTTAATTCTTATCTGAAAATGAGTTTTAAGCAAATTGGCAATTTTGAACAATTTGTTATGTGTATCAAACTGTTTATGTCTAAAATTATCACATCAGCAGCATATGAAAATAAAAGAAAAACTATTTAAATCACTTGAATATGAACCAGACATTTTCTTTTTGTAAACATAAAGCCAGAATTTTTATGATAAATTTATCAACACAGAAGAAAAGAGTTACCTTTCCTTTATAAAAGGAAAACCAAAAAGAGTTACCTTTCCCTTATAAAGGAAAAATCAAGGGTTAAAGAGTTATCTTCTCCTTATAGTGGAAAAAATAAGGAATAAAAGTTTATGTCCATTATAAACAGAAACCCAAAAAGAAAGAGTTATCTTTCCCTTGGGTATAAATAAAGGAGTGAAGAGTTATCTTTCTCTTATACTGCAAAAATTAAAAGAGTTATCTTCACCTGATTCAGATATAAAATTTAGAGAAAGAAGAGTTACCTTACCCTGATAGAGGATAGATCTGTTATGTTGTTACATGCTGAATGGATGGAACTTAACCAATTGTCGTGTAGTAATAAAACCTGCAATACAAACAAAAACATAACGAAGCTTATCTTAGTCTATAGATAATAAAGACTTCACATGTTAATAGCCAAGTTTTTAAACTTACAATAATTAGAGATTTTTTTCCCTGCAAATGCAAAGTACATTGTACTTTTTTTTTGCAGGAATTAACTCCAAAATGTCCACCCCTACAAGTTTATACATACATGTATATAATTCTGTTGTAGACTAAAGGTGTCATATGAGTAAACATGGTTGTGAGCAGAACTAGGACTCAAACCATTTGTCCCTAGGTTGAGAGGCAAATGCCTTAACCACAAGACCAAATTTTTCACGTTATTTTAAGGCCACCTTTCCTGTCTTTTTTGGCACCTTTCTAACCATCCTTTTCATTAAATAAAAAAAATTGATTAAACCTAAGTGTTACAAATAAATCTTACCTCTTTCTGCAGAACCTTACACAGAGCATACACCCCAGATGGAATCTGTAATACAACAGAATAGGATTAAGAAAGAAATTAAATAAATAAAGAGTAGAGAACAATAATATCTAGATCATTATTAAGTTGATGATCATTAACAAGTGTTAAAAGTTTCTAGGCCATTCTCAATGGGTTCTTTAAAACAAGTAAAGTGGTACTTATTGACATATTGTTTTTAAAGTTGCATGCCTTCAAATGAGCCAAAATATTTCAAGAATATCAACCTTGCAAATAATGTACTCAGATTTTAAGTAAAGTATTAACTTACTTGTTGTGCAGATTTTGCAGTAATTATCACATATTTCTACTGTGTGACTAATGCATAAGGAATATTTTTTTTCTTTTCTGACCTCTTTTTGGTAATTTACGTAAATTGAAAGCACCTTTACAATTAGTAAATTACTTTCTATGTTCATTTAACAATATTTTACTTTTAAATACATTATCAAACAATTTTCATGAAAATTAACATGAATCTGGAGGCATGCTGCTTTAACTGCTATCATGGCTATGTAGGCAATGTTTTGAAATGTTAACAAACACAATGCATACAAACAAAAAACTTTTTGGCATGGCAAATGTTATATTATGACACATATAATAACAATATTTTCTAAAACAGATATGCCCTTTTATCAATTCCCTAAGAGAACTTTGGTTTTATTTAAATCAACATACAATATATATAATTCTTACCTCCTCTATCTCACAATTAGACAGATCAAATATGGGTTCTGGATTCTCCTTTGCCTGTAAACATACATATTCATTATTAACACAACTGAAGATTTAAATCCATATTCAAGCCTTAAACTAAATATACTGTTGAGTGAGTTTAACCAAAAATTTGTCAGTTATTCTAAAAATTCACTTTAACATTTTAGAAATATTACAGAAGTCGCAATGAATTTATTTTTATTGCATATTTGTTTATGCACATATGTATTCTCATCAAACTTTGTAGTATTACATACCAGTGAGTTTTGGTTCAATTTGTTCAACCTGTTTCTTTCTGCAGGGAAAATACATAGCACAATAAATCAGAAAAGGGAGGGGGACCTGAAATCAAATTCCAACAACTGAGAATGGAATTTACCCACACATTTTATAATTTTTCAAGAAATTAACATGCACAGTACCTAGCAGAGGCTACCTACAGGGACAGCTTTCTTTCTCTCTGTAAATTAAATCAACTAGCTAATAATTATAGTCAGCTGCTGTAAAGTTGTGGCTCAGGTGAAGAATGTGCACAGTGTATTTCAGGGGAAAATATACCTATTTTGAGCTTGGGGACACAGCCTTTATTCTGCTGTAAAATGTATGGAAAAAGAATCACGACATACCAGATATTGCTGATGGTCTTGACGTTTCTTGGCATTTGTACTTTGTTTTCTAAACAAAGGCATCTTTCCTTTCTTACTCCCTTTTTTCTTCTGTGATTTTTGCTGCAAATTCAGATCCCCGTCAGCCTCATCCTCCGAGGATGAATTTGCATTCTGGGACGACAGATTTGATGCAGACTTTCTGATACTTTTCTTCAAATTAACAGGCTTGCTGCTGTTATGTCCCATAGGACCATCAATTCATTACAATGTCTGAAATTAATTAAAATCATCAATTTAATTGTTATATAATTAGGTCTGAAATTTAGAGTTGTTACTTCAGTAATTCATCATATTGGCTGTAACGAGGTCTGCATATAAGCTTGCTTTATATCAAGTTTGATAACAAAACCTCATTACAAACTATTGTTCAGAAACCATAATGTGGACCGACCAACCGATGGAAGGACGGACCGACCGCCAAGTTGATTCCTATATACCCCCCTAAACTTTGTTTGTTGGGGTATAATTAAATTATCAATTCATTAAATAAAGAGGCCTGGAATTTTAAAACCATGAATTCATTACAATGTCTGAAATTTAGAACCATCAATTCATAACAGTGGCTGAAATATTAAATCAGCAGTTCATTACAAGGACTAAATTTAGAGCAATCAATTCATGACAAAGACTGAAATTATCAGCCATTAATACATTATAAGTTCTGAAATTCAAAGCCACCAATCCATTTTATGGCCTGAAATTTAGAACGATCAATTCATTACAAGGTCTGAAATTTAATCCAATCAATTGATTATATGGTCTAAAATTTTGAGCCATTAATTCATAACAATGCCTAAAATATTAAACCATCAATTATTACTGTTTAGAGCCATTAATTAAACACAATGTTTAATTAAAGAGCCATCAATTCAATTCAATATTATATCTAAAATATGGAGCAACTAATTCACAACAAGGTCTGAAATTTTGGGCCATCAATTCATTTCAAGGTGTGAAATATATAGCCATGAATTCATACATTTTGTATAACTTCTGTAACTTACAGCCATTATTCTAAACAATGTCTTAGTACAAAGCCATCATTTCATTATTAAATTGTTTGGAATCAATTAAGAGCCATCAATTCATGTTACAATTACAAATAAAATATGACAGTAGCAACCATCTCTATCTGTCTCAGTTTCATGCAGTAGTTTTATAGAGATTTTTTTTTTAATTCAAGTCTCAGACCTCATTCTGTACTGGCAATATAGATAACATCATGCAATCAATTCCTCCATGAATAATGATACATGGAACTGCATAAATAAATCATTATATAACTTGCAGAATAAATAAAGTGACTGAATGACATTTTGACAAATTGATTATACAGAATAAATCATAAAGATGCATGAATAAAATAAATCAATTATTTAGATTTTACAATATTGCCATAAGCTTTCGTATATGAATTATGCCTGCAGTGTTCTTACATTTCCGTAACCGTACATTTCCGTAATAGAAGTCTGTAAATACTTGGTCATATAGGGGTGGGACATCATACATTACTTACAATCGTTTAACTTTGTGAATCTATTTTTGTCTTATTAAACATGTTGCTTGTGTAAATGTGACCTTGTAGTTCTGCAACTGGAAATATGCTTTTTTAATCTCTATTTTCTGTATTTGACTTTTACATTTCAATTGTATTATATTTGTCTTGTTTCAGGCTATAAGTGTGCAATGGAAGATACAAACATATTTATTAGGTTTTTTCATGTTAAGTCAGTTGTTTAGATCTCTATGTTAACTTGTTTTTTAAAGCCGGATTCCCTCAATTAAGAGGCATATTATTTGCAGTACACGAATGTAACAGTCAAAATTGCTAGACATACATATTCGCATTTTCAAAAGTAGTTTTCAAAGGAACACCTTTACGTGTCTGGAATTTTGGCAACAAACACCCTTCATACTTGAATAGTGACTTCCTATTATGCCCTCAAATATTAAGCATGTTAAGTTTCAACCTATCAACAAAACAAAAAACTTACACATGTATAAACAAAGTTATCTTTTTCAAAATCTATCATAAGCATAAGTATTCATGTATGGATTATTACAATTAAAACACCAATATTGATTATTGTCACATAATACACACAGACAAATAAATCTATACTATACATAGCAGACTGTGAAAATAAAAAAAGTGGCTTTCACAGACAGGTTCCACTGTAATAACATTCAAAGAATAAATATTTCTTAATCAATCTACCTCACAAAATTCCACATCATGTTTAAAATCATCTGCCACTATCACATGTCCTGACTCCTCAGTCACGTTAAACACACAAAAACTATCCAAAAACTTATTAAAGTGAATAGTCAGCCATTAAATAGAAAATGAATATGTTCATTTAATCAAATCCAATAAGACTGAATTTTGTAACTCAATACAAAAAATACAGCAAGCAGAAGAACATTCGAGGATCTATTATGACAGCATTGTGCCTGATCAATATTATATTCCTAATGAATAACCAGGGGAGGGTAACGTAATTTCCTCAGAATATGAAAATTTCAGAACTGAAACCTTCTGAAAAAATAACCACCGTAATTATAACGCGTGCATTTTGCCTTAGGACAATGTGGTCATCTCAAGTAATAATGCCGTCTACAAATTAAAGCTTCCTACCATTGTCATTAGCAGACACAAGGTTTAATTACCATAATCCCCTTCTTCTAGGCACAGGACACATTAACTACCAAAATCATTTGTACAACAACTACAGGGTAAAAGTATTAACAATTACTGGTCTTTGAACTTACATAACTTGCACAAAAATAAGCAACAAACACATGGAAAATAGTGTCTTTATACACCCGGTACCAGATTATTCTTTAGTCCCAACTAAATGTAAAGCAACACAAGCCATAACTTCAGGTCAAATAAATAAGGCGTAAAAAGTTTGACTCAATTTTCTATCTTTCCTAGTGTCAAACAATTAGAGAAAAGACATTGCCCATCCAAAATTCATCTAGATATCTGCTTGTCAAGTCTCATTAGTGGAATAAGCCACACCCAGTACTGGAACAGCTGTAAACAGAAGCCACTGCCTTGAGGAGGCCATCTCTACTTTTTCCTATTTCTAAAGCCAAAAACATTTGTGGAAGAGTATTGTAATAAAGAATAATCTTAGAAAACATAAATTTTTTGTACAAAATATAATTTCATTTCCATATTTGACATTGATGGTCAAGGTTAATCAAAGGTCAAGGTAAAATTTGAAATAATCATCATGTCAGTTCTGTCATAAGTGTGCTTTTGTCCAAAAATAAATACAAGAGGGCCATGATGGCCCTGAGGTCGCTCACCTGTATATAGGCCCCTGGAGCAGGGCCAGTTTAAACCCCAGGGCTTTTATTTGAACAAACTTGGAAGACACCCATTAGAAGATGTTTCTTGATGTTAAGTTTTTACTACACACATAATTATAATGAAAAACAATGACCTCCCCTCCCCCCGGCAGGGCCAATTTTTACCCAAGGGCTTTTATTTGAATAAACTTGGTAGACACCCATAAGAAGATGTTTCATGCTAAACATCTAAGCTCTAGCTCATTGGGTTTTTTAAAAGAAGATTCAAATTTTAAGTTTTTACTATACACATATAGTTAAAAACAATAACACCCCTGGGGCATGGCCAGTTTTGATCCCAGGGATTTTATTTGAACAAACTTTGAAGACACTTACTAGGAGATGTTTCATGCTTAATATCTAAACTCTAGCTATTTGGGTTTTTTCAAAGAAGATTTTTAAGTTTTTGCTATACACATATAAGGAAAATCAATAACCCCGGGGCGGGGCCAATTTTGACCCCAGGGCTTTTATTTGAACAAACTTGGTAGACACCCATTAGAACATGTTTCATGCTAAATATCTTAGCTCCAGCTCTTTGAGTTCTATAAAAGAAGATTTTTTAAGTTTTTACTATATGCATATAGGAAAAATCAATGACCCCCTGGGGTGGGGCCAATTTTGACCCCAGGGCTTTTATTTGAACAAACTTGGTAGACACTCACTTGAAAATGTTTCATGCTTAATATCTTTGCTCTAGCTCTTTGGGTTCTTTTAAAGAAGATTTTTTAAGTTTTTACTATATGCATATAGGGAAAATCAATGACCCCCTGGGGCGGGGCCAATTTTGACCCCAGGGCTTTTATTTGAACAAACTTGGTAGACACTCACTAGAAGATGTTTCATGTCAAATATCTAAGCTCTAGCTCTTTCGGTTTTTTAAAAGAAGATATTTAAAGTTTTTTCTTTCGGTTGCCATGGCAACCAGAGTTCTGCATGGAATCAAATTCTTTGAACAATTTTTAAAGGTGACCACCAAAGGAACATTCCTGTGAAATTTGAATGAAATTGGCTTAGTTGTTTATGAAGAGATGTCATTTAAAGCAAAAGTTTACAGACGGATGCCAGACGACGGACGGACGTCGGACGGACGGACGCCGGACGAAAAGCGATCACAAAAGCTCACCCTGTCACTTTGTGACAGGTGAGCTAAAAATGCATAAATAAATAACAAAGTTATGACAATTTAAGCAAATTTAAATAATTTGACATAGTCAGTAAAAGTCAATTTAAGTGCAAGCCATACCAGAATAATTCAAAATGTGAATTTGCCATGAGTGTTCTTTTGTCACAGTATAAATCAAAGCTGTTGATTTATAACAAAGTAATAAAATTTAAGCAAATTTCATTAATTTCACCCTGACAGTCAAGTTCAATGAAGTCAAGGTTTACTTCAAAGAAAGGTCATGGTTATCAGAATAATTCAAAAAGCTGGTTTCTTCATATTTATTCCTTTGTCCAAGAATAAATCATTTCTGCAAATAAATACAAAGAAATGAAACTTATAACAATTTAAGCAAAATTCAGTAATTTGATTAGCTAAAGATACTTCAGCGAACAGGTTTTATAGTAATGCTAGACTGTCGCAACGTCAAAATAAAAGCGACATATAAAATTATGGAAGCCAGAACTATAATTTTATCTGACAGTCAACGTCAATTATAGGTCAAGGTCATATCAAAATAATTCAACATGTTAGTTCTGTTGTGTTCCTTTGTCAAATCTGTTGATAAAAAACAAAAAATATGGTCAATTGTAGCAAATTTCAATAATTTGATCTAGATGGTCAAGGTCAAATAAATAAGAACTTGAGCAATTAAATTGTCAGGTCAGTTTCATATATCATAATATTCTATGAAACTTTCATATCATACAGTAAAGAACCTTGTCAAATCAATAACTTGTGCTAACCTCTGTTACAAAAAAAATAAAATAAAAAGACTAACAAAGACACAATGTCAAAATCATCTTTCCTAATACATGTATTACCAAATTAGTGATAAAATACTGCCTTTAAGCTCACCATTTTTATACAAATCACCCCCTTGTTAATATCAATAAATGAAATGATGTAGAAAATCTCCGAATTTGTCAGCAGATGATAATACCAAGCAGCTTGTTCTTGAATTCTGGCTGTCATTTCAGAGAAAGAAAACATCTAGCCATGGTATGATAGAGAAATTTCCAATAAAGTTCTCACTACAGACTGAATTTGATAACTACATAAAAGTGACACAGAAAAGGCTCCAAAGGATCAATAATGATGGAAAAGAGATGCAGTTCTTGCTATCCATAAAACTTGCTATCCATAAAACAAAGAGTGTGGCTTTTTATTTAAATTCAGCGGTAGCCTCTGTATACAGTTTCCTGTTTAATAACTACATGTAGATGGTTAAAGGGGAAACACATTCAGTCAATTTTAGTAACATGTACACAGGACAGCAATACTCGCATTTATAATGATATCACGCCATGTTGACATTATTTCTTTGTTCCTGGTAAGATATCCTGATATTCATCAGGCTTGAAATTTTATCATTCAAGTGCTTACAATAAATTAATTTCACGACTCAAAATTTTTTTTGATTTGGTGTACCTGCACTAGTTCTGTTCACAAAACAAAAACCAAACAAGAGCTGTCAGTGGGACAGTGCGCTCCAATATTCTCAGCAAATGGTCATAAAACAAGAGCCTGCAAGATGTACATGTATAAATTCACAAAGATGAAGATATCATTCAAGATGGATTATGGATGTGATGTCCTGGAAGTTGACCCACAATTATGATCCCAAAGAAGCTTTATTTAAGTGATTCAAAAAATGAACTTACACAACTCTTTCGACCAGCTTTTGTTTTAATTTCAAAAAAGACATAAAAATTCAGTCCAGCCTTTTTTCCCTTCTATAGCAGGGGCCTTATAGGGCTGCTTCCCCAAAGAAAAATTCTTTAAAATCATGCAGTTTTCCTCATAAATTGAATTTACATAAAGTTTTGTCTTCCCCTTTTGCAAATATACCCTGTTATTTCCCCCCAAAATTAAGGGCACAGCTGCTTCCCCAACCTGTGAAAAAAGCCCTGACCTAGCAATCCTAAGGACTGCAGTCCAAAATCCAGTCAGTGCCTGGGGACTTTTCTGGTTCCAAATGAATTATAATGGCATTAGCCTGATTAGGGTTTAAAAAAAAGATGATGACATTACTTCAAGTGTGTCATTTGTGCAAGGGGCAGGACGTGAAGTGGTTGCACACTTGGTTCAAGCGAGCGAATTGGTTGCAAACTTGACAAAATGGCAAACACGGCGTCATTTTTTGAAACGGGTGAACAAATTTTTGCCAGGCAAGTGGGTTTCTTTGTTATATTGTAGTTCATTAGTATGTCTATTCCATAATGCAATATATATACCACACTCGGTTTAAGGTTTCAGCATCCTAGATTCTGTTTTGACGAAGTTATTGAAGATATAAACTGATCATGTAGATATTTTGAAATTTGACATGTGACTGTTCTGGTCGGTTTTCCTCCTAATTTATTTGAATTTGAAAGTTTTGAACTGCATTTAACAATAACAAAATATGTTTCTGTCAATGCAGTACAAATGGTTTAGTTCGCAAGTCCGAAGATAACGTTCAACACACAAAAATATCTTGTTCAAGCACATTTTGGTTGCAGACTTATACTTCAAGCATTTTTGGTTGCAAACTTATTCTTATTCTATTGAAATCCATAGTAAAACTTTGCAAAAGGATTGTAGTAGTTTATATTTATTAACCTATTTGCAATGGCAATTATTGACATTTATGTTCTTTTACTTGTTTTTGTTATAAATGTTATTTATACTTTCTTCTTTTACAACAAGTATGCACTTTATGTTTCAAATTACATGGTTCTCAGTTCAATACTATAATCATCAGTAAAAGCCTGCAAACAAAATAATAGCACATAGAAGAAAAATGATTTATATTGATACTTCAATTCTAAAATATGTCATCATA